CCACAATGAGTATAAAGATGGGGGGTTTGGGCACGGAGATTGACGTAGGCAGGGCCGTGAATCCGCCACAGGCAGAATACATGTAGATGGCCGCTGGCCATGAAGTAACCAAGAATCCTTACCTCGTCAACTTCCGAGTCTTTGCGCGTGACGGGGCTGCATCGAGTATCTCCGGGAGGGAAAGGGGGGAAGGGGAGCTGAGTTCTCGGTGTGTATTTGTTCTTGCTCGACGTCCACTAGGCTCGTATCGTGGATTCCTCGATTGGAAGAAGGTTTTCGTCTCCCTTTTCAGCTCATTTAGCCCTGAGGGAAATAGTCTTGGCATGGCAACATAGAATCAGTGATTGGACCTGTGCCGCGGAGCTCTCGTGTCACGAACGGCCTTACTTCGCACGAACTGGTCGGAAACCCTAGGGCGGCAGGGACAGCTTTCGGAATCCGATCCATCCGCCTGGGGGGGAGGGGGAATCTGAAAGAGAAGACTCGACGCTGGACCTTTTTGAGTATGGTCTTTGCTGAGAAGGTCCGTTAAAAACGCTTACCAAGGCTATACGGGCCAGGCCTTGCGGCATATTTCACCCGAGTGAAGCCTGCGAAGGTGACACGACCTGGCCGGGAGCTTCAGGTAGGGGCTGAAGAACACGTACCAAGGTGTCACAGGGCTGCAATCCAATGGATTTCGACAGTAGGCGAGCTCACACGGCTCACTGTGAGACTCCCACGAGATGCCTTCCAGGGGAGGGTTAGCGCCATCGTGCTGTCAGTCAATTTGGGCACACGCTCCCTTCTTTGCATGAAGCTGGACCGGCTATTGATGCCACTGAACCTCCCGGGTACACCTCGAAAAAGACGTGGCATCAGTGGACGGTTGTACACGTTATACTCCCGCGGTGTAGAGATGATGCAAATGGCACTTATCTCGAAGCAGTATATGCAGAACAAGAGATGCATCGATCTCCTCCGTATGCGTCAGGGGCCCCATACATCGTATATCGGCTATTGGTAATGCTTCCAGAAAAAGACCAATATATCCTTGATGGAATAAACTGTGCATCTTCTAGAAGCCCAGGCATTGGCTCAGAACCAACAGGTGTCCGGGTTGGCACTGCGAAACCATGCTCTCAGCCGACATACAAGGTTCGGCGATGCGCTTGGCACGGAAATGTACGGGCGTAAAGCCTGCAGCAAAATTCTGCATTCAGGGGAGAAAAAAGGATGTAAACGCAGCAGTTTTTCTTTTCCAACGCTGACAAGAAGCGCAAGAATTCCTTGAGCGACAGTTCCAGTCATTCAAACGTCTGCTTCTGGAACGAGGAGTGTATACGGGAAATGGCGGTTACAAGGATAGTACGCCCGCCTCCCCGGCATGTTGCAGGAAATCCCGACATGTTGCTTGCTTGCCTGCTTGCTTGCTCGCTGGGTTCCGCCCAGCCACAAGCTGTTGGAAACGCGTGGTCTTGTCGTTCATGACCACGGCGACAGCATCTCGGCCACCGCAGATCTTCATGGGCCGATGCTTCAGACAAGATAGGGAAAAGGTAGCAAATGCATCATGAGCGGTTTCCCGGCGGGCGAAGGGCCTCCGACCCGACCGGGGAATCATTTCCGGCGGGTGCCCCGCTGACATCTGGGGTAACACCACCCACCAATAGCGGACCGTCGTTTGACAGGTGGCGGGGCCTCCACGTCCCATCCCGGTGAGCCTCGGCCCAACTCTCGCGTTCCTCCCAACCAACCAACCAACCACCTATCCATCCGTACATCTCCAACTCTCACCTCACGTTCAACATCCCTTTCTGATATCTTCAACAGCCAACTGCGCCACTGGCCTGCATATTGTTTGTTCATTTTTTTTATTCATCTTGCAGATATCCAGGCATTGGCACCCCTTCTCGAAACCCGCAAAACAACAGCCGCCTCTTGCTCAATCCATCTAACCCCCCTGCTTCATCATGTCAGACAAAGCGCAGCAAAGGCTCCAGGCTCTGGGCAAACATCTGAATGCCCCTCCTCCCCTCAAGATCGCCGGCCCCTCTGCGGCACCCCGGGTCCCGGGCAAGGTCATCATCATCACAGGTCAGTCTAGTCTAACCTCCCGAAGCTCTGTGGCATGCTACACGCCAAGGACGCGCTGCTGTCAAAAGTGTCGTCTGACACTTGAAAAACCAGGCGCGAACTCCCTCATGGGCATTGGCCGCGCCTCGGCCCACCAATTTGCAGAGAACGGCGCCCGGGCAATCTACATTTGCGACTACGCCAATGACAACCTCGAGTCGCACAAGAGCGAGCTCAACAAGCTGTATCCCAAGGTCGACGTGCACACCCGCCAGTTCGACGCCGCCGACGAGACTGCCGTCAAGGAAGTCGTTTCTCACGCCATCACCACTTACGGCAGGCTGGATGTCTTTTTCGCCAACGCCGGCATCACCGGGCCGCACAACGTCTTTACCGATATTGACGAGAAGGACTTTATGCAGAACATGCGAACCAACGTCTTGAGGTGAGTTATTGACAAATGTATATATATACATATATATGTGTGTGTACACATACACATGTGTGTATACACATATACATGTTGCGACATCCCATGCGGCCGCGTCTTGCATACTGAGCCCGCTACCAGTGTCTTCCTTGCCGCCAAGCATTCGGCCCCCGCCATGGCCAAGACGTCGACCGAGAAGAAGACCCCCGGCGGCAGCATCATCCTCACCGCCTCCGTCGCCGGCCTCCGGTCCAACGCCGGCACGACACCCTACTCCGCCGCCAAGGCCGCCGTCATCTCCATCGCCCAGACATGCGCCTACCAGGCCGCCGGCTCCAACGTCCGCGTCAACGCCATCTGCCCGGGCCTCATCGAGACGGGCATGACGTCGCTCATGTACGACACGGCCCGCGCCCGAGGCACCCAGAGCAAGATTGGCCAGGTCAACCCGCTGAAGCGCGGCGGCCACGCCGACGAGATCGCCCGCGTCGCCCTCTTCCTCGGCAGCGACGAGAGCAGCTACGTCAACGGCCAGGCCTGGGCCGTGGACGGCGGCTTGAGCGCGGGACACCCGTACGTGCTTGGAAAGCTGGCGTGAAGAGCGCGAGGCGACTTTCGTCTGTGTCCTTTTTTTTTTTTTTTCTTCTCTCTCTTTTTTCCTTCTTTCTTCTTGCGTCGTATTTGAAGCGGGCTGGGGCGTGTACTTATGTTATTAACAGGCATATGTTTGAATACGTCATTTCTCCAGAGGGAACTTATGAAGGAGTCGTGCCCGCATAGAGCGTGTGACGACCACGCAAGACGGCCAGGCGGCCGAGGCTATGACATCGACTATGGGGCTGGTCTCACAGAGCTTGGAAGGAGGTTAGGATAGGATCGGTGGCTGCGTAGCCTTTTGGTGGTCCCCATGGTGGACTTTCGACGAAGCAACTGAAAGGTCATTGGGCGGGCCAGGCCGCGAGGAGGAGGAGGAGGAGGATCATGGTTGCATTGACCCCGTTGATCTGCACTCAGCACTTTATCGGGGATCTCCGCCGAGCGAGCTTGAGCAAGTTGGCATCTCCACTGAGCGAGCTTGAGCAAGTTGGGATGCCACTACTACATTCCATCTTCGATTCCATGTTCCGGCGCCTCTCTGGTGGAGAAGCAAGCAACCATATCGCATTTCCACCGGTTTCTTCAGCTATCTTTGCCTGACTAGCAATATGCGTAGGTCAGCGTAGCTGCGCCGCCCTCCAAGGTCGTGGCCATACAAGGCAGTTCATTATATTCACTCTTACCCTCGTTGGCCCATGATGCGGTACAACATGTCACAACGCCACTCTTCCAGAGTCGACCGAAGCCTGCGAAAATCAAGCATAAACCAATCTCGCAAACTCTGCATGTCGTGAGTGACAGAGACTTTCGTTGGCTTTCCCGGCAGGCAAGGCCAGCGGGCACTGCAAATGGACGAATCTGGTGTTCCCTAGCTCTCTCTTCTGCTCTCCAACCAGCCCCTCACGCCCCCAGCATAAAACGAAGTAGATTGGATTCCAGAAAAGTCTTGATATGTTTGGCTAGGCGGCCTCTTGGCACGGGGAATGGCCGCGTAACGTAGTAGCATTTCCTCATTTCCTCTTCCGCTCGTCGTCAGCCTTCTCCCGTCGCGCGTGCTTCTACGACTCGCATGCCCATGGGCCCTTGGTATCCCTGGTCTTGGCATAGCTTGCCACGTAACCACCGCCTGGAATTATTCGACACGATCGCCCACATCCCGAAGCGCCCTACGCCCAAATTAAATCACGGCTTGTCTCCACGTACTGGGACGGGACCCACACATATACCCCGATGCCCTACTCATAACCACAAATCACATTGCGCGGATCTGGACGGTGCCTGTGCCGCGATTGGAATCGCATCCGTCTCCATTGGACGGAAGCTGAGACCCTCATCGGGAGCGGGGACAACGCTCTTCTTTCGGGTCGCGTGGGGTGGGTGGCGGACGCAGATCCTCCCTATCAGCCACCGGTCCGGTCCGACTACCAAGATCCCTCCCACAGCCCTCCCGTCTGCTTGAGCGTGCTCGATCGCACCTCCCATGCATCGGTGGAAACAACATTGGAGGAAGGTGACGGCGGTGTCTCGCGAAACGCCCCCTTTCACGGAAGTGTGGGGATTTAGGCGTCTTGGCTTGGTCCGGCATGTCGTTGCTTCTCGCGTGCATCGCACTTGATTTTCCTCCGAGCTGCTCTGGGACCCATTGAGGGCGGAACGCTGCAACGGCTGTCACGCCAAGAGGTCGTCGTGAACAATACAAGGAAAGAAACGAGAATGCCATGGATCACGAAAACGCCAAGACCGAGTATCATAAGAAGGGAGCAGGTTTCCCTCCAAGACGGCGAATCTACCTCGTCTCTCATCAAGCTCTTCATCCTCGCTCTCTCCTTCAGTCTTGAGTCTTCTGCAGGCTGTTACTGACCTTGTCTGTTTGCTTCACTTGTGAGCAACTTCCCGCCATTCATCCTTCAATCTCGTCATGACGCTCCGCTCTGTTCTCGCGGCGGCCTTGGCCGTCTCCCCCCTTCTGGGATTCGTCGCCGCTCACGGCAACCACTCCCCCGAAGAGATCGCTGCCGAGCTGGCCCTCCGCGACCTGGTGACTGTTCACGGCAAGCGCGCCCTCGACGCCTGCTCCGGCTCACCCGCCGCCCTGGCCCTCAAGCAGCGCGCCCTCGAGCGCCGCGCCGCGACCGCCCAGCAGCTGCGCGAGAAGCGTGGCCTCACCGGCCAGAAGATGCACCAGAAGCGCGACAAGGCCGACTTCGAGGCCTGGGCCGCCATCGACCACGAGTCCATCGAGGGATTCACCCTCGACACCGCCGTCGAGGACATCTTTGGCTCCAACGCCACCTGCACCCTCGTCCCCGAGACCACCATCGGCCCGTACTACGTCGAGGGCGAGCTCATCCGCACCGACGCCACCGACGGCGAGCCCGGCGTGCCCGTCCATCTGGACATCCAGTTCATCGACGTGGCCTCCTGCACCGCCGTCCCGGAGCAGCTCATCGACCTCTGGGCCTGCAACGCCACGGGCGTGTACTCGGGCGTCGCGGCCGCCGGCCAGGGCGGCCTCAACACGACCTACGGCCGCGCCGTCCAGCAGACCGACGCCGACGGCGTCGTGCAGTTCGACACCATCTTCCCCGGCCACTACGTCGGCCGCACCACGCACTTCCACATCATGTCCACCGACGGCGCCGAGATCCTCCCCAACGGCACCTTCGAGGGCGGCGTCGCGCGCAACATCGGCCAGCTCTTCTTCGACCAGAGCATCATCTCCGAGGTCGAGACCCTGGCCCCCTACAACACCAACACCCAGGCCCTCACGACCAACCTCGAGGACGGCATCGCCGCGGACGAGGCCACCGCCGAGTACGACCCCTTCCTCAAGTACGTCAGGCTCGGCGAAGACCTCAACGACGGCCTCCTCATGTGGATCACCATCGGCATCAACACCACCGCCGACCACAACGACGAGGTCAGCGCCGCCGCTCACTACCACGAGGGCGGCGGTGTCGACCAGAGCAACGGCGGCGCCTTCCCCGGTGGCCCCACATCCTAATTGTAGTGCTCCTGCTGCTCCCGCCACCGGATCCGCTTAGACGACTTCTACCACGTCGCTTGTGTTGCTTACGTTTATCGCCGCTGCAGCCTGGAAAAAGGATTCCACTGAAGCCCCGTAACCCAATGGCGGGCTTGGTGCATGTACATACTTGAAGAGAGCCGTGTGGATTCGTTTGTCGCAGTCTCGATTGGGTCGCGCGAGGGGCTAAGCTTGGTTATCCAGCATGCGAAAAGGGGTTGTCTTGTTTCTCTTATATGTACAAATATCACTGCTTCTTATACATCTATTACAGATGTAAATTGTATAGTGCTTGCGAGATATCCACACCCAAAGTCTACTCTTGCATTGTTAATTCCCATCTAAGGAACGTCACTTGCTGTGTGGCATCGACTCCAGCAACGCCGTTCATTGTTAGGGAGTCAGCCAGTCCGGCAGGGCGGGATCGCCGGCGCTGTCTCGGGCCGTCGAGCGCTACAGCGGCCCCACCAGCAGGAAACAACCCCCCCCCCCCCGACGTTGATGTACCCGCCGTCCACTCAACCCCGAACAAAGAAAACCCCCTTAATCCACAGATGCGCAACTCACGAAACCTCAACTTGGCTTGACCATTCCCATCTCATCTCATCTCATCCTCTCGCTCAACTCCAACAAGAAAACCCCTCTGCTCCCCCAAAAATCAGAAACCAATAAATAGATAAATAACTCAAAATGGCGACCTCGGGCATGCACTACGCCCACTGCGCCGCCAACGACGGCTGCAAGCTCGCCTTCCAGTCCTCCCTGCCCCTCGCGGGCGCCGCCTCGGCCACGCAGTGCGTGCTCCTCATGCACGGCTTCAGCGGCTCGAGCGACTACTTCCGCCGCAACTTCGACGCCCTCGCGGCGGCGGGCCTCTGGGTCGTCGCCCCCGACATGCGCGGCCACGGCCGGTCCGACCGCACGCGGGGCGGGTACCACGTCGCGCGCCTCGCCGCCGACCTGCGCGACCTCATCGCCGAGCTGCGCCGCGCCGCGCCCGGCGCGCGTTTCGTGCCCGTGGGCTGCTCCATCGGCGCCGCCGTGCTGTGGACCTACGTCGAGCTGTTCGGCTGCGCCGACTTTGCCGGCCTCGTCTTCGTCGACCAGGCCCCGCTGCAGGACCGCTCGTCCTTTGACGGGTGGGACGAGAGCAGGGCGCACGCGGGGTGCTACGACGAGAAGACGACGCTCGCCGCCCAGCGGTTCTGGATGGGCGACCCCGCCGCCGCCCACGTCGACCTCGTGGACGGGTGCCTGGGGTACCGGGCGAAGCCGGACCCGGCCGACGACGTCCCCGCCGAGAAGAGGCGCGAGGACGAGGCCTTCTTCACCGGCATCAGCGCGCTGTGCGACCCGGCGTGGCTGGCGAGGCTGCTGGCGGACCACACGCGGTACGACCACCGCGAGGCCATCGAGGCCATCAGCGTGCCGACGCTCGTCATGGCTGGCCGGCGGTCCGGGTGCTTCCCCCTCGAGGGCATGCTCGAGACGGTCAGGCGGGTGGAGAAGGCCAGGCCCGGCCTGGCGAAGGCGTCCGTGTTCGAGTCCGGGCACTGGCTGTTCTACGAGCAGCCGGAGAGGTTCAACAGCGAGATTGTCGAGTTTGTGGGCCAGTGCTCCAAGTGAGTTGGGTGTGTGTGTGTGTGTGCGTGTGTGTGTGTGTGTATAAAAAACGGTACCAGAAGACGGGAAATGAGCCTATAGACTGAAGATAAAGTGGGAATGAAACGACTTATGGGATGGAATCAAGCAGATGACTGACTCTTGTATTTAGCCAAGAGAACACCAACGAAGTTTGGCTTGAGCGAGCTGTTAAACGCAGGGAGACGGTTCCGAGACCCAATTTGGAAACACTCGGGAGCCCACTTTGGGAAGAGGCCATTGAACCACGCATCTTTCTCATTGGCAGTGGTTCATCCGCCCAGTCTTTGAAGTTTAGAGCCCTTCCCGCCCTTCAACTGATTTTCGAATCGTGTTGGATCACAGCCACCAGCGACGTCACCCCGCCAGCGCAGAGAAGCAGGCTCAAGAAACCAATAGTCTATTGATCCTACAGAAAAGGGTTTGTGCCAAGCTCTCACCACCGCCATTCCGTGCGCCCCAATCACGCATCGTCCTCGAGCCCGACCAGCTTCAGGCTCTCGATCCACAGCCTCTTCTCGGTCGGGGGGTCGTAGGCGGAAGGCGCGTAGCCAGGGCGGGCCATAAAGCCCTCGGGCGTGGCCTCCTCGGCCTCGGCGACGTCCTCGAGGTACTTGCCACCCTTGCCCTCCAGCTCGGCGGCGACGGCGGCCCAGACGGAGGTCGCGGCGCCCTGCTCGGGCGTCTTCATGATCCGGGCGATCTCGGGATCCTCGAGAAGCTCTTCTAGGCGCCCGGCCGAGTGCCTCTGCAGCTCCGTCATGATGCCGCCCGGGTGGAGGCTTAGGGCGTGAAGGCCCGATGGGCCGTAGCGGCGGTCGAGCTCGTTGGCGAATAGGATGTTGGCGAGCTTGGACTGGCCGTAGGCCGTCCAGGGGTGGTACTCGACGGCGCCCTCGAAGCTGAAGTCTTCGAACTGGATCCGGCCCTGGCGGTGGCCCAGAGACGAGACGGAGACGACGCGAGAGTTGAAATCGGGGGTTGAGGAGGCCAGGAGGGCCGGCTTCAGGAGCTGGAAGAGGAGGAAGTGGCCTTTTGTTTTCAGTGTTGGTGGTGGTTGATTCAGCGCAAGGGCTCGCCACGCTTACCGAGGTGATTGGTCCCGAACTGGGTTTCGAACCCGTCGACGGTCTTTCCCTGGGGGCAGGCCATGACACCTGGCGACAGAATTAGAACCCCTCCGGATGGTGTTATCCAGACCGAGTCTAGCTTACCGGCGTTGTTTATGAGCACATTCAGCCTGTCGGACTTGCTCAGGAACTCCTTGGCGCCCCGTCTAACGCTTTCAAGGGAGCCGAGGTCCATCTCGATGACTTGGACCTTTCCGGGCTTGCCGTCGGAGAGGATGTCTTTGGCGACTTGGTCGCCCTTGGCGGCGTCGCGGGCGGTGATGTAGACGTCGGCGCCGGCCACGTGGAGGGCCCTGGCGGTCTCGGGGCCGAGGCCGCCGGGAGAGCAGCCCGTGACGATGACTACCTTGCCGGCCCACTTTCCGACGAGGCCTTGGTCTTTAATGATCTGAATGGCCGTGGGGCGGGAGTCCCCGGGGCCGGTGTTTTTGCTGTGCTGTTCATAGTAGGGGGCCAGACGAGACATGGTGCTGAACGAGGAGCGGTGGTGCCTGTGGGAGGAGGGTTTGATGATGGAGGCGAGTCGGTGGACGGATGCGAATGCTGGTATGATTTTTGTTATTCAAGCAGAGGACAGAGGAAGGCGGCATGCTGTTGGAATTTCATGATCTCGTCCATGTTAGTGGTCCATGGAGTTTTATATCAAAACGAGAGCGGCCGCAAGGACCGCATTCCTGCCGTATATTGCCAGTAGCCACGAACCGTATGATGCCATTGAACGGAGCGGCCGGAGTTAAGACCAAAGCAAAATGCCCACCTGGATGAGCAGGAAGAGCTTTGGTGGCCCATCATAGCCGAATTCCTCGTGCCTACTTCGTACATTATTTGGGCAGCTTGAGCAGCAGCGCCCTGCTCCCAAGTGTGATATTCGTGGTGTCCATCATGCACCCGCTTACACAGCCTGTTGCGGGCCAGGCGGGTTCATGTGCGGACATGCGGCCGCATGGCCGGCATATTGTATGCACCCTCGAGGACATAACGCAGTTAAGCCGTCTCTGGCGGATAGGCGGATGAGGTAATCAGCCCGGCGATAAGGAAGATGAGCCATTCCAAGCCAGGGTGGCCTGTGCTGCTTGACAGTGTACTCTGTAGCTAGCACGTGACGGCCGGGTTTAGGTTCGGCTCCGGTGGCTCGTGCATTTTCGGTCTCCACTCTCACTGTCGTCCGTCCGATGTGCTCCCGAGTTGCTGCACCGACCGGTTGCCCGTGCTGCCTGGTGCTTTGCTCTGTGACTCTGTATGCCAGATCCGGCCAGATCCGGTCAGATCCGGCCAGAGGCTGTCAGAGCCTCCAGACCAGCGATGAAGCCGAAACCGGTGTCGCGTGTGATCGGGACAGGCGATACATGACCCTGCCCCTTGGCTCTGGTTGTCCCAGGGCTATGCAGGCCTAGGGCGAAGCTTCAGCAGCGTATGCCGGCGTCTAGGGACCACGGGGTTGAAGTCATGAGCGGCTGTCAAAGCCATGCTGTGGTAAATTCAGATGATCGGGAGACTTTCCCCCGTAATATTCCGCGTTGGTTTGTACGACGAATGGATTGCGTATCCCCTGTGAGAAAGGCATGACGGTGATGATGCTGATGAATGACCAAGGCCCACCATGCAAAGCTCCTAAGGGTATCCGTGTCTGTAGACATTGCCCGTCTGATGCTTCCTGACTCATACCACCGCCATATGGTTCATTTTATCCGTAATTTTATCGGTCGCAATTTCCCCATCCATGATATCCATGTTCCGATGTGGCAGCAGGCACGGCAATGGTGTACCTAATGGTGCACTTCCACCCTAACAGAACTCTACCTGCTGTAGAATGGCGTTAGAGGCTTTCCCCACAGGCGTCTCGTCCCAGCATCTGCTTGCTCCCTGGTCCGGGCCCCCCGTCCTGACCCGTTCTTTCCAAATCCCCCCTCCACGAATCTCGGCACCTCTTCCTGGTCACAGCCGCGAATCCGGGTCGAATCGATTAGACGATCCAGAAAGCTTCATTGTTTGGTGCAATGTTGTTGGCAAAACCTGCTGGTGTACGGGCAACCAACAACACCTCCAAAAAAACAAAACACACCTCGGAACCTCGCCCAGACACGCAAGCCATCACGACGACCGCCACTCGCCCCCAAAAACTACATCGTGGCTCAAGGGTAGAGGCTGTACTATACATGGTCCTCTCTCGCCTTCTACTGATCCTCTCATCTCTCTCAGCGGCTGAGCAGCGAGTGAAGTGATCCAATCATTGCCAGCATCAACACACCCGAGTGCGAAGCGAGTCCATCCTACAGGCGCAAGTAACCGTCATTCAGAGAAAGGCTGGACGGTTACCGCCTGTGGTGCACAGGTCCCAAGAGCAAGAGCAGCAGTAGCAGCAGCACCCACTGGCCTCGATATCGGTACAATATCTCGTCTCGTTTCCTCCTCCTCGTGCGTTTCTGCACGTGAGAAGCCGAATCTACGCCCAAGAAACCGTTTCACTCGGAACAAGAGCCGGTCGGCAAAGAAAAAGACCAACAACAAACAAGGACGGAAAGGGTAAAACAAGCTGCAAAGACCGGCCAAGGGACGGGACGTGTGCACGCTACACCAACCCGCCCGCATAATCCCCTTCCTTGCTGGGCAGTCTTCCTCCACCTTTCCTCCCCCACCACCGCCACCAACAACCAACCTCCACGCCCACCCGTACCACCCATCATCTCTCCCTCTATATTCTCTAGGGTATCCAAGGTACAGCCCAACCCAACCGTACGCTACCTACCACCGTTAGCCCCCCTTCATATTCACCTCTTCTCCAGACCTTCTCTCGCATTGTCTGGCTGACGAGCAAGCGTGCTACTACTACTGCTTATTCTTACGGATACCTTGGGGGGGAGATCGGTGCCGAAGCGAAAAATAAGCTGCATCAGCCCGGATTGTACCCACTCAGAGCTAAGGTACCCTGATTTCTCGGTTCGCCTTGCTGAGTTACCCAGCTTCTACGATTTTCCTGGGCCCCAGACCGAGAGAGGTTCCTGTTCCACCTGCTCATCACCGTTCTCGACTCTTCTCCTTCTCTTATTCTTCTTCTCATTGCCACCCCGCCCGCCCGCCCTACCACAACCGCCCCGCCCTTCCATCACGTCTCTAGACTCCGCGATACGGCGCTGCTTCTCCAACCCCCTCGACCTTTGCGCGCCAACGTCCCATCAACGCCCATCTCGACGCCGGTCTGTGCACTAACCCTCTCCCATAGCGCCCTCACGACGCCAAACAGGCTCCCGGCCGATTGTGATCTGATTCATGTAATGCCGCCGCTGGGCTTTGCGCTCTGCTCTTCTTGCTACTGCTGCTGCCCCTGCTGCTGCCCCTGCTGCACGCCCCCGACAGCTTGGACGCAACTGTCTCGACCCCACACCCACAAGGCGGCAACGCGCGCAGCGCCTAAGACGCACGACTGCCGCCCACCCACACACATGAGAACCTCACCTTCATCTTCTGCCCAACGCCCTTACCGCTCTCACGCCCACAAGCGACAGTCTATCGCATCTCTGGCGACTCAGCCAGCATGGCCGCCTTCGTGAGGGTTTCTGGTCCCCCCAACAGTAGCTTTCTCGTCGGCTACCCGGGCATCTCCGCAACGCTGGTATGTGTGGTTTCTCTGTGGTGTGATGACGTCGAGGAGGCTGGAGTCTTGCCTACGCTTTGCGCAACCCTGCTGACATGCTTCTCTCACCCGTAATCTAGCCCCGAATCGAAGGCAAAGTCGAGATCCGCCCGTCGCAGGGCTATTCCATGCCCGTCGCCGTTTCGCTGGTGCGCATCTGTCTACAGCGACGAGAAACGATCCACCCCGCCGCCGAGAACGTCGCGAAACGACACCTGGGCACGCCGAGAAGAGAGACGACCGACGTGGTCGGTAAAGAGCTTCTGCTGTTCCGATGCCAGTCCGGGAAGGAGGCCGAGAGCGTCATTGCCATGGATCTGCCTTTTGTCCTTTTTATCCCCTTCGGAAGAGGCGGCGAGGAGACGAACCGACGAATACCCCCCGCATCGCTTCAACTCCCCAGCCGGACCGCCGAGACGTACTACGAGCTTGTAGTCACCGTGCAGCAAGGCCACACCCTCCAGAACAAATATTCCTTCCCCATACCTTTGCAACGCTACGACACCTTGTCGACATTTGGCATGTACAACAAACCCGAATCGCGCCAAGTCAGCGACGCGAGCGTCGTCACCCTGGGCATCTCGGTTCCGAAATGGAGTTATGGACCCCTCGACCCAATAACAGTCTACATCAAACTGGTACCGAACCCCGACTGGATGAAGAAGGCTTTGAAGGTCACGATTCAGAAGATCACCGTCACCATCGAGGAGGAGATCACGTACAACCCCGAAGGCGACGAGCCGACGAAAAAGGTCAACAAGGTCGCAAAGAACATACAGCTGGTAAACACGAGAATGCCAGAGGCAGGCTATGCCACCAATCTCGGCTTGGTCTTCCCCTCCAAGGACCTGCGCGACCCCGATGGCATCATCCGAAGAGGAAAGCCCGCGTTTCCCCTATACGAGGTCACCTCCTTCACCACGAGCTCAACATTATACAAGATTGAATTCTACCTGACGGTCAAGGTGAGCTGGCCTGATTGTTCCTCATCCACCATGCTTTTTTTGCTCACGATACCTGCAGGCGCAACTAGGTTCTACCAAAGACTTGGTAGTTCGACAACCGCTCGTCATCTGCCCGTTGGACCAGCAGGCATGTAAAGAGGAAATGGACGCCATCGAGCAAGCAGCCAAGGATGCCTCACACGTCGACCCGAACAACCCGATGCTCCCCGCTCGCTCGATCGTCTTGGCGAATGACCGAGAGTCGATGAAGACGCTAGGCCTGTGTGTGGTAGGAGGGCAGAAAAAGCCGTTGATCGAATGAAGGCCTCGGAAATCGTACGGAGTAATTATATGAACGGAATGGCGGGAATCTCGGCTCTGGGCTGCGGGGTATGAGACCGGCTGCATTTGACGGCCGGCGATCTACCCTGGAACGGCGCGAGTCGAATCCGACTGCTGACATCCCAGCGCCCAGTTCCAGCTTCAGACCTGCAAAACTACAGCCACAACGAGCACAAACTAACGGGACGCTGACGTCAGCGTCGAACACGATAGCTAACGGAGCGAAGGGGGAAAGTGGGAGGGAAAAAAAAAGAGCGTTGGGAACGGAAAGCTCGGGTATTCTCTGTCTAGACCTGGAACAGGAGCATCGACGAAATCATACCCTTGGCGGGTGGTCTTTTTTACGGTTCACCCACGGACCTGCGCGTCGGCTTTTGTACCGCGTGTTTATTCGGCAGGCGGGACGGCATCATCATCATCATCATCATCACGGCACGGCGTTGGCGGGGTCTTTGGCTAAAGGGGAGGGGGATTTGGGGAGACCAACGATTTCAGGCTCTTGCGGCATTTTGGCAGAGCACGTTTGGACAAATACTATATCACGAGACGATGAAACTTGGGAAGATGGGGGGGGGGGCGGCGTGCGAGTTGCCCAGGGGGGGGGGGAGAGAAGCCTTTTTGTTCAATGCTGTACATATCACATTTGAATGAGGGATACAGGAGACGAGTAACTCGGGGGTGGGTGTCCTTACCCCCAAATGATACAATCGACTGGGCCATCCTTTCTACCGGTGAGTCGGTGACCATCCTCCGTGTCCTGATGGCAGAAGCTGCAAAGGGGCTTATGCGAGAAGGATACGAATAGCGGGCCCTGGTCAGAATAATATAATACTCGAACACTCGCGGTTGATCACTTGACATATACAGGAAGCAAGTGGTTGAGGAAGCACGGGCGTACCCGCTTTAACGGAGGCTCTCTCTCTCTCTCTCTCTCTCATTTTTCTTTTCTTTTTTTACACCTCTCTCGTGTGGTTGGATTTTGTTTAAACTCATATAAGCGTCATTGAGGGGCTATCCGCGAGTTGTGGCCTGAATTCAAACAGTGGAATAGCTTTTCCCCTTATCATTTTATTTTTTTATTTTCCCTCATCTTCATTTCATTTGTCATCTTCATTGTGAGAAGCGAAGAACGGACGGAGGGACTGTTGGCTGTTTGCGACCTTATGGTGCCGAGGTCCAGGGGAGGGGCAGAATCCTCCAGAATCCTTTAATGATCTGAGGACTCTGATAAGCGACCACACAATCCCGTCTTGTTTTTCGATACCTAGTTGCCGTAGAGGTGGAGCGTATGCGGCTCAGCCGGTACCGCCCGGCGCCGGCTCCTTCCGACATGCATAGGTGCTTTCGCAACGACATCAGAAGCGAGCTCCCTCATGGTGGTCGAGGTAGGTTTTGTATACCTCTTCGCCCACTTAGACGTCAACCTCCATGGCCTCCCCGCCTTCCTTCTCCATCGACTCGATGCGTCTGAGGATGCCTTCCTTCCATATCCTGTACTCCTTGCGCTTCTTCTCACTTAAAAAGTCGTACCGATCCTGAAACATGCTGTCCGCCCCGCGCACAGGCGCCCTGTAGGGGCCCTCCGCCTGCCGGTGGCTGTCGGCGATCACGTCGCCCGCCTCGATAACGTCGCTGAGACTGAGATACCAGTCGGCCTCCAGCCACCCGCGATCTGTGACCTGCTGCACCGCGTCGTCAAACTCCTTGGCCGTGACCGGCGCCCAACCCTCCCACGCCTCGTCCTCGTCCATCCCCCTCGAGCCCACCGATGCTCTCGCCTTGGCGACGAGATCGAGGATGCGATCCCGTTCGGGCTTGTACGCCTCGCGGTCGACCTCCTCCCCCGACTTGAGCTTCTTGACCTGCTGCGTGACGAAGAAGAATACAGCCCCACACAGAGCGGCCAGGTTTGCCCTCACCCACGCGTCGCGCGTTCTCCGCCCGCCGGGAACGACAATGTACTCCATGCCGGCCAGCATCGTTGGCCCCAGCTGCCGCTGACCCGTCTCCTTGCAGAGGAAGCGGATGGTCGGCTGGATCCAGAAGTGGAGGCCGGACTTGTCGGAGGGATAGACGGCCTTGCCGGTCGACTTTGTCGGCGTGTTGGGCCCGCTTGCGGGGTTGCCGGAACGGAATTGCGCGAGGGACCGCTCCTTTGTGGGTGTCGGGCGTTGTGGCGTCCTGGCGGGCGAGTCGACGCCGTGCCTTTGTCTGTGCCGCGGGGTGCCGTTCTTGCCTGGTGTGCGGTTCAGAGTGGCGTTGGGGAGGATGTTGTCGAGGTGGCTATAGAGACGCTTGTAGATGCGGGGAGGGATTGGGGGCCGTGGCTCGATCGGGGGGAGGTCCAGTGTGATCTTGAGTCTTTTGGGTATCAGCATCAAGGTATGGAGGAAGCACGGATCGCATTCCGGGGGCCTACCTATCGCAGGCGATATGTGCACAAGCGTATAATCGCCCAACTTCTTCGTCCGCTTTGAGTGTGCTCGCCCGGTGCCTCGACTGTGCCAGGAGGGAGCCTGCAAGTTCTACCAAGGACGGCGGTAAAGTTGAGCCATGTGTGGGCATCAACGAGAGAAGCGTTTGCTCTATGGATCGGTTCATGATGGGTGGTATGGGATTTGAAGCCCGGACTGTGTTGGATGAAGAGCTTTCGCAAGACGCGTCTGGGACGCGTTGCGCAGCGGGCGTCTTTCTTAGGCCCCAGAGGTTGGCAGATGTCGATAGTTGTTCGGATGGACTCCACAATATTGTTCTATTATCCTGCAGCTGCTCGAGAGAGTGATCGAGGAAGGGATGAATTGGACTGTACGCGAGGAAAAAAAGAGCTTATGAGTAAGGTGGTGTTGAGGATGGGTTTGTTGCGTCACCCAAGGCACCACGGCCACCCAAGCTTAATTGGCACGCGACGGACCCTGGGCCCGAATTGATTAAGCCCCTGTCAGTCGCCGATCCGTGCATCTGCCGCCCCCCAAGCTTCCCTGAATTGGCCATTGGTGGACGCCACCCGTTCCAACCAAGCAAACTTCCATGTTCCCCATTCCCCATTCCCCCATTCCTTAGCCCGTTGCTTGTGCACTCTCTCCTCTTCGTTCTCAGCCCAGCCTTTTGGTGTTTGCCTAGTTCTTGGATCTACCCGGACACGGCTTTCTGTTTTGCCTCATTCGTGGCTAGCCCTATTGTGTATCTTTACACGCACGTGTCTCGTTTGTTGTTTTAACATCCGTGCTACGTGTTGTCAACAAACCGAAGCTCCATCACGACCTGATATAGCTGCATCGTGGGCGATTCGACGATGCACATCATCTACGTCGCAACCCTGGCGCTCGCCAGTCGCGCCTTCGCCCACGGCGGCGACCACAGCCAGAAGCCTATGGTAGACGAGAACGCCGACTGGATGACCAAGCATATGGCTGGTATGTTACCGACCAAGCTCCCCCAAGGGTCCTCCGCCCCCCATCGTCGACCCGCGCGCTGACATCTTACGTTTCCGCCAGAGGAGCACCACATGGAGGGCTGGGACGCTGCATCCTTCTTCACCCTGCACGATTACAACGGCGACGGGGTCTGGCAGGGCGACGAAATCCTGCGCACATACGGCCTCTTTGACGAGTCGAACCGCCACATCTCCGCGGAGAAGCGCCTCGACATCCTCCATGAAATCATGCAACTGTTGGACGCCAACCACGACGGCGTCATCACTCGATCCAATTGGAACGACTTCATCCAGAGCGGCAAGACGCTGCCGGATCTGGGCGTGGGTCCGGGTCACCACGGCGACGACGAGTATGAGTACGAGATTCACCATTGGGAGAAGTGAGTGCCTCGTCTATTCCCGGTAGAGTAGAGGGAGAAGCTGACGGGAGTGACACCAGGTACCACGACGAGAACACCAAGCTCGAAGATCTGACGCACCCCGAGGACATCGAGCACTTCAAGAAGCACGAGCAGATGGAGGACGAGCAGGAGAGGTTAGAGCAACTCGACCAGATGGCCGTTGTCGAAGTCAACATCCCGCAAAAGTTTCGGCGGTCATAGCGCTCGATTCGCTCACCCCCTCCCCTCTCAAAGGAAGGATGAAGTAGCAGGCGGTATAGGCCGACAACGTTGACAGGAACGAGAGACAAGCGATTCACGACGGTTATGTAATCTTATTAGATCTTGTAATATGTACATCAAAGACGCAATGCCAGACGTCGGGCGCGTACGTCTTGACTAATTCGACATGCTCGACCGTCGCGGCCCGGCCGCTCTCTGTCGCTGCCGCCCAGCCATCGTACAGGCTTTGAATGTCTGCGCGTCTCGGTTCGATGTCATGAATGCCGACATTTTCGTGGAGATGCAGCCAGCAGCCTTCAGGGGATGTGGCTGTCATGTCCCACGCCGGCCGCCACGTGGGCTCGCTGGTCGGGAGCAGCCCGCCATTGACGTGTAGGATATTGACCGGAGTACCCGAGACACGCATGTCTGCTATCCTGTCTGCAGATTTCTGGTTGTCTTGGAGGAAAACGACGATCTGCTCGTCACCTGTGAGGAGTTGGGCGGCGGGTAGCTCGAGGTCGGCACCCTGGACAACCCTGACCCGCCACCCGTTGGCGACGGCACCGCGGCGCAGGGCTTCAACGCTCCACGGGTTCAGCTCCCAGCAGAGGACCCTCAGGCCGAGTTTGGCGTACGAGAAGGTGAAGTAGCCGATGCCCGCGTACAAATCCACCGCCCAATGCTTCTTGAGCGAAGACGCGGGGCGACGGCGATGAGACATGGCTTCGGGGACTGCGTGGCTGTGAAACTCGAGGAGGCGTGTCTTTTCCTTGATGTTTCCCCGGCTGAACATGGTCCAGCGCGGGGCCCATGTCTGATAGATGCCGTTCTGTTTGGTTGACACCCAAAAGGCCGCCTCAAAGTCCTCAGACGAGGGCTTGGCTGGATTGACGGGAGTGCCAAAGTCGCCATGCAGGATCTTGAGGCCGCTGGGGGTCCGGAGGATGTTCTCGCCCTTTTCGACGGTGTTCCCGTCGTCTGTCTTGGCGCCCGTCTGGAGAGGGATTCCTTCATTGACGGCGAGGTGAGTGAGCATGCTTGAGCCCGTCTTTGAGACGTCCCGCAGGATCGCATCCCATAGCTGGTGAATCTTGTCGTTAGTGATGTCGGGGTGGCCAAGGAGAGTGCGCCAAAGGTCCTTATCGAAGCTCCCGCTGGGGAGGAGAAGCATAGGCTCGTAGATGGCGAACCGTTTCGGTGTTTGTTGGTTAAGAAGAGTGTCCAGTTCATCAGAGGTTCGCCATGGCTGGGCTTGCGGGGGAAGTGAGAGAAGCCAAGCTCGGGTTGCTGCCGATATTGGGTTTTCGGGCTTCGGCTTCTTGCCCCTCGGTTTGCCGTTGGGGGCTGCCATCATTCGCTTCTTTGTAAGTCAGGTAGACTTGAGAAAAGGTCATCGGGACCTCCTCGAGCTCAACGTCGACTTTAGCAACGTGTAGAGTGCAGCTCACAAACTCAACCCAAAAATTCCTAGTCTTGCAACTCTTTGGTGATTTCAGACGACGTTACAGGGGTTACAACGGCTTAGACCCCTGTTGGGCACCTTGAGGTCCGCTAGCGACAAGTGGGTCGGGCGTCGCCAATGAAGCAAAGACACCTCCATTGTCCGGCTTCTGCTCTTTCACCGTTGTTCCCTTCAATCTTGGATCTGGCCACGCTCCGTCAAATTGGGAGAAGCATTATGGATTATTCAACTCTGCCGGTGCATCTGAACTACCTCAACGATGCGGCTCACCTCCTCAGGACATCCGCCCCCGAGACTTCGGCCTACCTCATGAACCAGCACAACGAGCTAATGTTTCTCAACGACATTGAACAAAACGACGTCCGACGGCAGCACGTCTGCGGTGCTTGCGGCCACATCATGATCCCCGGCCAGGGCACTGCACTCAAGCTCGAGACAGAAAAGGTGCTGAAGAGGAAGCGACGCGGTGTCAAGTCGCGAGATTCCAAAGCCAAGGATGAGCATCGGCCTCGTGCTGGGACGCGAAAGCTTTTTAATTGCGGAAACTGCAGCCGAATCACCAAGGTCTCTTTCCCCCCTCCGCCGCCGATCCTAAGACGCCGAGAAAAGTCTGAGCAGCTCTCTGCGGCCAAGGGTCGCCAGTCTTCAATGGCCGAACCAGCTAAGCCAGCAACATCCAATTCCAGCAGCAAGAAGCGGGCGAAGAATCGCAAGGCCGGGCTGCAGGCTCTGTTGAATCAAGCCAAGACGTCGTCCTCTGGGAGCAGAAACTTGAGCCTTGCAGACTTTGGACGAATGGGATGAGAAGTGATAAAAAAAAAGAAAAAGAATCGTACTTGCAAATATCCCATCCTAGGAAAACACGGCTTCCAATCTCTAGAGCCCGCTCCGCGGTTCCGTGCCATGACAAACCGGCGGGCGGCGGGCGGGCTATTCTCGGGAATATTCTCGAAGGCTGCCTGCCTTGGGAAGGGACCCGGGACCCGCTCAATGACACACATTGATGCCCATCCTGCAGGGCCTGCAGCTGCGATTGCCCCTCCAAAAATTTCAAGACCCCGCCATCGCCATCCCACCGAGTCACTTGCTCTCCCCTCCCCACGACCGACAACAAAACACCGTCGCGCAACTACAACAGAAGAATTACCGGCACTCGACACATTGCGCGTATACCTAATTTTCAGAAATCAGTCAACATGGCTGTCCCCGAGTCCAAGACGACGCCGAACGAGTTCTTCCAGGCCATCGGCTCCAAGGTCGACGGCAGCGAGGACCAAAAGGTTGTCGAGGAGATCGAGTCTCTCTGCATGAACTGCGGCAAGAATGTGAGTTGAGCAAGAGCCTTGAATCAATTATCGTATGCTAAATCTGCGTCCAGGGCATCACGAGGCTGCTTCTGACGTCGATCCCCTACTTCCGCGAAATCATCATCATGTCTTTTGCCTGCGAAGAGTGCGGCTTTGCCAACAGCGAGGTCCAGCCCGCAGGCTCCATCCAACCCAAGGGCACATACTACGAGCTTCGCTTGACCGCCATGGAAGACTTCTCCCGCCAGGTTGTCAAGTCCGACACAGCCACCGTCAAGTTCACCGAGCTCGACCTCGAGGTGCCCGCCGGCAAGGGCCAGCTTACAAATGTCGAGGGTCTGTTGACCACCGTCATTAACGATCTCGAGTTCGGACAGGAGGCACGCAAGGAGCAGATGCCCGATATCTACCCCAAGATTGCCGAGATTATTGAAAAGGGCCGCGCCATGCTCGAGGGCAAGTCGTTCCCCTTCCGCGTCACCGTCGACGACCCGGCCGGTAACTCCTTCATCACCCCCGACTTGAAGGATGGTGTTGGAAAGTGGGAGAAGCATGAGTTCATCCGTACCGCCGAACAGAACGCGGCCTTGGGCATCTCCAACGAACAGGCCGCTGAGCTTGCTGAAGGCGCCAACCCCGGCCTCACCGCCGAGGGCGACATCATCCCCAACGAGGTCTACAGCTTCCCCGCCAGCTGCCCGGGCTGCATGCGCCCCTGCACCACCCACATGAAGATGGTCGACATACCACACTTCAAGCAGGTCGTCCTCATGTCTACCGTCTGCGACGAATGCGGCTACCGCTCCAACGATGTCAAGACCGGTGGCGAGATCCCCGAGAAGGGTGAGAAGATCATCGTCAAGGTCAACGGCCAGACCGACCTTGCCCGCGATATTCTCAAGTCCGAGACCTGCGCCCTGGAATGCCCCGAGCTCAACCTTGCCGTCAACCCCGGCACCCTGGGCGGCCGCTTCACAACCATCGAGGGTCTCCTGACCCAGGTCCGCGATGACCTTCGTAGCCAGATCTTCGAGGCCGACGGCGGCTCCGGCGGCTCCGGCGGTGGTGATTCCCTCGCTCCCGAGGATAAGGCCAAGTGGACTGCCTTCTTCGGCGGCCTCGACGAGGCCATCAACGGCAACCGCGAATTCACCATCGTCCTCAGCGACCCCCTCGCCAGCAGTTTCGTACAGCCTCTGGTCGACCCCCCTGCCCCCGACCCGTCAATCACCCGCGAGTACTACACGCGCACTCACGAGGAGGAAGAGGAGCTTGGTCTGCTGGACATGAAGACCGAGGGCTACGAGGAAGACGCCGCCAAAGAGGCTGCCGACAGAGATCAGGCGAAGAAGCTCGCAGAGCTCGACAAGCTCCTCGACGCCAACATGGGCAACACCTCATAGGGAAAGCGGGATCAGGGGATGTGATGCCGCGAGACTTTTTATGACGCGTTTGGATTTTAGGTGACGACTGAATAGGCGGGCGGGCGGGCGGAATGACAAAATTCGTACATGATGATGATACCTACGTATAGATGGGTTGGTTGAAAGTTTTGAGGGCTTTCCAAGAAAAGAAAAGAAAAGTTGCCCAGTGCATTCTGATCCTTGCTTCTCTCGACCACTTTGCCATGCCAGTTCGTGGTCGCGCATTGGAGTAAGACCCGACCATGGCGAACCTTTGTATACTATATATATACATATATATAAGAAAAAGAAAGCGCTTGTCTCTTTAAGTACCTACATGTATAAGCCAGCCTCACGTCAAACAATCACCATCCCCACTTCATCCTAACTATTATAATGATTCGCAAGACTCATCGCTATCTATGCGCTTTGTGCTGTCCCGAGGGCAAGGTTGTGATCGACGGCAAAATACACTGGCTTCTCTGACGACTTGAAAATCCACTTCGTCTATGGCAACCGCTCGACGAGTGGTTATACTTCTCTGGTCATGTCATTATTGCATTATTCGATAACTAACGACGAAGCTCTTCATACTAACACTTGTCTTATGATCCATTCCAATACTCGTCTTGTAACTCATCATTCTCGCCCACGTATGAGTAGAGTTCCAGACCTCCGTCTTACGACTGCTGGTAATTACTTGGGACAGGCTGGCTCGCTCTGATTCGAGGTGGATAAGGAACCTGTGACATATCAAGACTGGAAGGGAGTGTTAAATAAAGGAATGAGCATTACCAAAAGGTCTGACAAGTCGCAGTACTCTGCGAGGAAGCCGCTCATGACCCAATTCGCAGCGACCTCAGAAGGAATGTTGAGATGACCCGGATCGTCTGTACGCCATGAAGGCGGTGCCAGCTCGACCAAGTGGTGAAGATGAGGAGGGAACACCAGTAGGTAAGGATCGGCCTTTGCTTCCTCAGTGGTGCCTGACTTGGTCCAAGTGACCTCCTCGCCCGTTCCACCGCTGCCTGTCTCTCCGCACCGAGCCGACTCGGCGACTGTGACTGACCCAGCCGCCAGGTCTCCGGTCTGTTTGGAGGGGCAGGGGGTTGCCAACTTGCGGGAGTCATTCAGGCCCACTGTGTGGCTGCTAAATCTGCTAGGCAACGTTGCCGATCAGTGAGAAGGCATAGGGCGAGGCAGATCTCGAGTGTGAAAGCAGAATCCATGTGGGCATTTGCCACCGAGTAGTTGGATGTAGGGGTTACGTTTGTTTGGCACTGTCTCGATGGGGATACCAAGAGCAGTGGCCACAGTCTTAAGGTCACTGCTATGTCTGGGACTGTTTCTTTCGGTTGGAAATCGAACCGACAGCTCATCAGCGAGCTGGAGGTCCCAGAGAAGAACATTGTCCTGGGGTTTTTTTTTTTTTTTTAAATATGTCGACGCCCAAAAGGACACAGAGACGCTCCGCTGATTGCGAATCGTATGTTAGAACAATCATCTTGCGACGAGTTCCAGACTTGGCCTCGCTAAGTGTTCGGTCGTCCATCCTGGCGGTATTCTATCGCGTCTGGATGGATTGGCCGAGATCCTTCAGCGCGACGAACAACTTCCTAAACCTAGCGTCTGACTATACTATAGGACAAGATGCCTTAGACCAACAAGCTACAGGCCTCTAAGCCACATCATAGCTTAGTGTACTCGCAAGGTCTCAAAGTCGATCGAAAAGAGATTATACTCTCCTTCTTTGATTGTCCCTGCCATGTTGGCGGGCATGCGTGACTGGTAGCGTCTGAGCTCGAATTCTTCTCCCGAACTGATGCTTGCAGATTTTTAGCGATGCTCGTTTCGTGTAGAAATTCACGATACTCACAGTGGTGGTTTCAAGAAGTCCATGGTCTCGTACCATGGTTTGTTTTGCCCGATGGGTGTGTAGGTCTTCTTAACGAGCTTGTGTTTGTCTGGGTCCTTGCCAGACGATGACGGCTGGCTCAAGCTCATGATGCTGTCACAAGAGGTCACGATAGGTGGGTGAGATAGTAACGGTTGGAAGAGAGAAAGTGGGGTAAGTGATGCGCATATGAGGGGAGAAAAAGTTGATAGCCCGGGGAAAGTACGTACTCGACTGATTTAGAAGGAGCAGACCGACCCTACCTAGATAGGTACGTAGGTATTGAAGCGATCTATGTCTCTAGGAAAGACAAGATTGAGTGCGTTCTCTGCTAACTGCTAACGAGAAGACACTGCAACTATGTTGGCTTGAAATGCCGTCTCAGCCGTCAGCAGACCATAAACAATTACCATATAAAAAGTGAAGAGTCCCTTGAAGTTAGGCACAACAGGGGAACGAGCAGGTTATCACGGTAAAGCCGTCGAGACCGAAGGTAGGAGGATATCTAGGTTATGTCTTCTGTCCGTTTGACTGTAACTATTTTGGAAAGAAATCTGTCGACGCACAACATCAGTTTCAATCCTATTCAATGTGGTGAGTGGTGGCATGTATGCCCCGTCTACCGGTCTCAGATGAATATGGTACTCGACTATGTATAACACACAATATCCAATAAGCATACTCATGACCAAGAAAAGAAAGCCAGTTAGACAGGTGGCCAAATTTACTATTAATAAGACGAATGGGTTGAAAGATGGAAAGATGACCACTAGGTTGCTGGAGCCCTCAAAACCAGTCATCTCTCGTCTCACATACACAAATAAAACAGACAAATACACGAAAACACAAAAGAATACACGGACAAACAAAAGTAAATATAGAAACACACACACACACACACACACCCGAACCTAATAGGTAGGCCGGACGCCAGAATCAAGGCGCACGATGGCCATTTTCTTCGCGATGGGCACCATGGAGAAGAGCTGCTTGAAGAGACCGTCCGATATCACCTCCGCCAGAGGTAGTGAGGTGACCCGGCTGGAATTCTGACAGAGATGGTAATGTCATCGGTAGGCTTTTACCATCCGCTCCCACGGAAGTGGGTCGCCACGTTTCTTCTTGGAGTCTGGTGGCAGCACCACATCTCTCAATCATGTAGCGCTGTTCACAGAACAAGTACAGAGCTTGCTCGGTTAGCATCTGTTAGTTCGGCAAACATGAGCTTGTTGTGGGCGCAAGTGCGGAAAGCTTGGATGAAGACGATCCTTCCATAGGCACTGACAGCGTGATTCTGTTCTTGCTGTTTCGGGATAGGAGATACGAGACGGTGGTTGAAAAACCGAAAGTTGTGGCCGACCAAGTCAAACAAACTCACATGGCATGAAAAGCAGGCATGGCGTTTGTCTATCCCTACCCGCGAATTTGTCAGTCAAGCGGCATGCTGCCAAGTACACGACATGATTCATCAACTTGACGAGCCACTGTGATGTTCATCCACGTCGATATATATCCTGAAACCCCTTTGTTCCGCGTTTCGAACGGATTATTCAAGCTGAGATTTCCTCTGTATCCCAGAGACGTGTTTAAGCCTCATGTTCTCTCCCTTGTACTACGCTATGTGTTGAAAGCTGTTCGTAAATGCCTCACGGCCGCAGCTAGATATGCCATTCCCGCTTCCCCGGTACGCTGTACCATGCAAAGTAAACTGTTCATTTCCTCCGTGCTGTGAAACCGCAGATGTTTCTTTTCTAGGATGAGTCGTTGGCCTCCGAACTCTCCGAGTTCTCGCTCTCGCCACTGGCCTCGGTTGTCGTAAGTCCCTTTCTGATGGCGAGGACGTTATCTACGATGACTGCATCGATGCCCTCCTTCACTTGGCGCTACGGAAAACGATGAGTACTAGTCACTGTCGATCAGGAGAGGATAAGAGCACTTACTTGAACCATGATGGGGTTGTTGTTCAACGTTCCGTAACTGACACAAAGGAGACCACTCTCCTTGACAACTCTGACTAGCCGGGGACTGTTGATGAGCGGCTCGGCGGCGCTGACAATTCCAATCAAGTTCCAGCGACTGGCGAATCGGATGGCCTCCTGCAGGGAGGAAGCTCTGATATCGCCAACAGAGCAGGTGCCTGCATCAGTCAAGAACATGATGGGGATCGACGGCTGCTTGAAGCTCAAGCAAAGACAGATGTCAGGATTGAAGGAGCTGAAGATAATGTGTCTGTTGCCGGCTAGGTCGTAGACCTTGGACAATACCGTGTCGCAGAACGAGTTCAACTCGACGGCGTACGTGTCCATCTCCTGCTCCTCACTCTCATGAAGCATGGGGTACTTCATCTCAATGTTGAAGCCGATGTGCTCGGGGAGTTGCCGAAAAAGGTCCTCCAAGGTGGCGAATGGTGCCTGGATGAAATTTCCACGGGAGTTGGCCTTGTAACCCTTGTTCTTGAAGTCACGCGTGTGCTTCATGCGCTCCTCGAGACTGCCTCCGTTGACGCCCTCGCCAGCGTATCCCATGGACAAAGACCGCTGCCTGAGGCCCGGCGCATTGTTGCGAACCTTCTCGATTCTCTCGTTGACTGCATTGACACCATTTGTTCGGTTGGAGTCGGGGTTGATGTGCAAGAATTGCTCCAGGGTCAGAGTGTGGACTGGTGCATCGATGCCAGTCTCGCTGACAAGGAAATCGTGGTAAATAACCGGAACATGGTCCTTGGTAAGCTGGACGTCGAACTCGACGTACTGAGCGCCCAGGTTGGCTGCTGCGATGAACGAAGGTACCGTGTTCTCTCCAAGCTGGAGAGATTTGTTGCTCGTCATGTTCTTACCCATGCCGCGGTGGCCAATGACCATCGTTGTGGCAAGCTTCTTCCAGTACGTCTGCTGCGAATTGATCTCCATGTTGGGATGCGAGAAGGGCGTGACAACCAAAAAGTTGAAGTTGACAGTGCCGATGACATCCAGGTTGTTCGCCAAAATCGGCACACAGACATCGCCCTGAAGGTTCATGCGCTTTGTGCCCAGGGTGGGTTTGATGGAAGAGAGGAGGGCCACGCCACGTCCGATCTTGTTCTTCTCATTTCCAGAGTATGTTGGGACAATGTCGAACATCAGCTTGACCTGGGCGGGATCCGCCGCTGTGAACACGATAGGCTCCGTGGAGACAGTCTCGTGGACAGGCAGGTCAACAATGACGGGCTCACCCTGGGCTCCGCTGGCCGAGACGACAATAGACAAGGCGGTATCGAGCTCGGTCAAATGAGCTTCGGTCAAGGGCACGCGGTCGAGCTTGACGGCCTCGAGGTTCTTGCGCATATCCATAGATCCAAGACTGACGAGAACCATGCTCTTATCGGTCAGATAGCGATGGCCGAAGGTCTTGACCGGCTCAACCGGACGGACATATCCGTCCGACTTGCGGCCGTCAATCGACGAAGTGTTCTCTGGCGACGAGGAGCGGGGAGGATTCTCGTTGATGGATATTTTGAGGCTGCTCGTGGGCTGTATGATTTCGGCTTCCGCTTGGTTAGCCAGGAGCCTGGCGATGTCCAGGTGGCCACGCAGCGCAGCGTGTTCTTTGGCTGTCCAGCCAGACGAGTCAGCTTTGGCGACGACTGCGCCAGAGTCAACAAGCAACCGGACCACTGCGAGATGACCGTCCACGGCAGCAACGTGCAATGGCGTCCAGGCGTACGTGTTCTCCGCAATCTCGAGGTCGGCCTTTTGCTCATCGGTACCCTTGATCAGCGACTTGGCAATCCCATCGTGGCCGAAGCGCGCGGCAAGGTGCAGGGCGGTTTCACCCGTCTTGTCCTGCCAGTTGATGTCAACGCCAGCTTCAACGAGCATCTCTACGATGACCTGGTAGTTGCACTTGGTCGCTATGGCAAGGACAGCACCGGACTTGGATACTGTTCGTCTCATTTCGGCCTTCCTGACACTGACGCCCTGCCAGTTTTCTCCCTGGAGAAGGGCCTTGGTCGTCCGAGGATGACCGCCCACGACGCTCAAATGCAGAGGGGCGTACCCGTCGTTGTCCTGCCATTCGGGGGCATCGATGCCGTTCTCGACGTTGAACTGGTTCCACTCTTGCATCTTGGCCATGATGATCTGGCAGACAACCACGAAACCGAAGCGGGCAGCATAATGGAGAGGCATCCGTCCAAAAGAGTCTCTCGCGCTGAGTGCTTCTCTTTGCTCAGGCTTCAGGGTGTCGAGAAGATAGATGAGAGTCTGAACTGCCTCGTCGTCTTTGCCGAGCAAATTTGTCTCATTTTGGCTGAGCGCCCGAGGGGGGATCGTTTGCGAGACAGCCGGCTGAAGGTCGTGGGTGGTGAATTGAGTGCCGATCGGGAAGGGGTAAGACTTGGGCTCATTGTCAGGTTCAGAAGACTTGGTGCGGCCGATGTGGATGACGAGTCTGTGGATACAGTTTCGCTGGTTGATGTCATCGGGCTCATTGATAGACGGCAGCTGCTCGATAAGATAGGCCATGCTTGCCCTGGACCTCGCAGCAATGGAGCGCTGCAGCAGGTTCAACAGCAGGGTCTGAGATGCCTGCTCAGAGGTCACGTTGCCCTCCTTCAAGCCAGTCTTCAGCGACTCGACGTCGTCGTTACGAATGGCTTGCTCGAGGGTGTCAAGTTGGCTCTGTGACAGGATCAACATGGCCTTGGAAGAAGCGCGGCCGAGCGACCGCACCGACCGGTCGGATTTGGAGTCGTCGACGACGCGGGCTTCACCCAGGGCGGAGATCCATTTGTTGACCTCGGCGAGGAGGCGCGTGCCTGTGGAATCTTTGGCAAAGGGCAGCGGGTCGACTTTGGTCGAGATGTAGCGGTGCTGGGAGCCCGTCGCGGGAAGCTTCTTGTCGAGCTTCTTTGTGATCTTGACGAAGCCTCTGCGGTTGATTTCAGCGAACCAGTTGAGGTTCCTCAGCATGATGCGCATCTCGTAGAGAGCGCCCATGAGCTCCTCGGTCTCATCCTCGTCAAGATTGGAGACGAGGTCATGGACGCGGCCATAGCGGTCGTGTAAGAGATTGAGACGGCGGACGGCCTCGCCAAGCTTGCGGTTGTAGAAGCTGTCAACGTCTTCGAGGTTGCGGTCCAGAGCAAAGAAGAATTCTGCAAGATGCGGTCAGGGGATGGGCTACGCCCTCACGGTCCGGTTCAAGTCCGCCCACCTGCAAGATCCACCTTCTCTCCATCCTTGGCCGATTGCGCGGCGGCCTTGATCAGCTTCTTCAGGCCTTTGTAATTGATGTAGAAAGCCGCCCATTCGGGGACTTGGTTGCGGGGGAGACTGGGATTTGTGTCAGCATTCTCCTCGAGAGGTTGCGAAAGAGGCCCCAATACGATGGAGTAATTGGAGTGATTTCCCAGGGGAAGAAGGACGCACTTTCTGCCAAACTTCATGATGAAAGACGTCTAATTCCGGGTATCAAAGGGTTGTGATGCTGTGGCGTTCGGGCTTAGCGATAAGGTCTAGGCGATAAGACTGAAGAGTGCTGTAACGACAAATACAGTTGCTGATGACAACAATGGGACAAAAAGAGACGAGAGGGCAGCTGCTTAGAGGCAGATGAGATCGAAAGCGCGGTCGATCATTTTCTTCGTCTATGATATTGTAGAGGTGTTTGTCTTTGGCGATGAGTTGTGTAGTGCAGTAGTAAGTAGGAACGAGGCGCGGGTGAAAGAGGTCAAGAGTAGTAGCAAACTCAGCAGCTCCGGGATCCAGGAAGTCGTCAGTCAGCTTTTGTCTCTGTTGCGTCAAAGGGGTCTAGAGCCAGGGACGGTGTCCAGTAACGAGAATGCCGTCGATTTTTCCAGGATGAAGGAGCTCCACATCCAGATATCCATTGACCGGAGGGGTTGGGTGGGTAGGAATACAGCGTCTGCCGAGTACGGATAGACCGACAAACAAACAATCGGGTACTTTTCTTTCTTCTTGTTGTCTATTGCCCCGAGTACCCACAGGGTGAAGAAAAGATATATATAGAGACAAAATGGAAAGAAGATCTGAGGACCTGGACACAGTTGTCGGCGGGTTGGAGGGGGATTATGAATGAACACGGAAATCAGACCGACGGCGACAAGTTCCCCAGCGGCGGGATTGACAAGGTGACGGAAACAAGCAACAGACAGACACTACCTAGCTAGCTTATGCGTAGGTACCGGGGTACTTACTATGTAGGTAGTGAAAGAGTGAAAGAGAGAGAGAGAGAGAGAGGAAAGACGAGGTGTGAGCTAGTCCCACCGGCGCAGGGTATCGAGGGCCCTGGCACCAAGTCTCTGTGTGTCGGCAGGTATGTACCCCGCACGCGAATTGTCGCGTGGAAGGGACAGCCGAGAACCGGGTGGGCGACTCAAGACGGGGTCGGAGGGTACCTGAGACCGCCACCTTCTCACGCCGGCGCCAGTCCCTTCAGAACGTGACGGCAGGAAGGGCCGTGAAAGAGAAAGACTGCGAGATCCCAGAAACAGCTCGAGGCGTGGCGCTATCCGGTAGGTGAAGCTGGCCAGTCGGGAGCCGTCATTGGTCTCCCGTGGGGCACAATCCTGTCGTGATTCGTTGAGTCGTGGCACGGAGGACCCACCATGGCATCAGCACCGTGTACAGAGTAGTGTAGACGGCGTACCCATGCCCACCCCGCCGTTGGTGTAGCACAGACACAGAGTAGGAGCAACCCGTTCCCCCATCCAGCCCTTTTGCATCTTTTCTACTTACTTAGGGATTTGGAAGGGCGTGCCGCTCCTTCCTGTTTCCCTCATCACAAGCGAAGTTTACATACAGTTAATTGCTGGCTTATCGATTCTCCAAGTACCAGCTAGCTAATGGCAACACGAGTGTCCATCCTCATACTAGCCTGATACGTCGCCGGTTGTGTGGTCACGATTACCACACAGTACATCTGGGTAGGTAGTGGCGGTCTCCGCCGGCTCTTGCCTCGTCACTCTCGGCCTCTCCCCTTTTTTCTTTTCTTTTTTTCTTCTCTCCCACCGACTTTGCACCCTCGTGGCCTCCTCTCTTCACCTGGAACGCCGGGGCCGAGGCCTGGGCATATCTCACGCTCCGACATATTGGGTCAGATGGGTGCGCCCAAGTTGCAGACCGCCTCGCCGCTTGGCAGGTAGTTTGTTCTCGTGACTACCCAAGCGGGAGGGACCCTGAAGACCAGGCATTGGCTTCGGTTCCGTCGATACTCTTTTTTGCTGCCAAGAGCTGCTTGACTATTGGAATGCCGCTTCCATAACGATGCATAACCAGGTACCATCCCCATGTTCTCCAACGTCTCGTCAATTTCATGTACGACTTCGGGTTGGCCGCGAACCCGGGGATGGAGGACCAACCTAGAATATATTGGACTACATACTTGCCATACGCAGCAAACTACGTAAAAATATATCAAGACCCACCCAGATCCGGTTCCGCGATGTGCCTTTCAAGTTTTGGATTTTTTTCAGGGTCTTGTCAGCTGACCGATCCCTAAACCTCGATATCCCGGCTACCGTGCGCTTAGATGCGATGCAGATTGATAATGGGGAAACCTGACAAGGCGACGTCGGCTTTTACGGAGGTCCTTTTCGCCTCTTGCTTACCCGCTGGCTTGCCCATGACTCTACAGGTGACGAAGGGTAGCCGGTCGGCGTAGTGGGCCTTGAAAACATGCCTGGAACACAAGTGACGATGTCAGGGTCCAATGGACCCACGGTGATGGTACAGCTGCCGTACTTGTATCCCCGTACACCTAGGTAGGAACAGTCATAAGTATCAGTGGGCATGTCAAACTTTGCCATCCTGCTCCAACCCTACGCAGTAGTAGGTAGTAGGTATGGCGGGAGGAAACCAGTTTTTACGCGACACAAGAGTCAGGCCCTCTTGCCAACTGGTCGTTCCTTGACCACCGAACGGAGAGGCCCCTTACCCCCATCACTTTCTTAGCCTCTGAAGTTCCTGAATCATTCAAAGCGTGCGGCTCATGGGCAGCAGACTTCAGTCCAGGGCAGGCCAGCCCCTTCCCGTCTCCGACCTTTCTCCTCCTCGGCAAAGAGTATCCGCATTGGTATTTGGCCGTACCTACTTCGTACTACGTAGATGTAGTCTACCGTAGGTAGGTTCGGTATCCGTCCGCCGTCTTGATTATGCTCCCGCTTGATACCGTGGTACGTAACCCCCCAAACGCTGAGCCGTCTGCCGGCCGGTGGCTTCTCCGTTCGAGTCCCAGCGCCCAAACCATGCAAAGCGTGCTTTTAGGTTTGCTCATTGCCTTTTTGGCTTTTCCTCAGCTGTCAACTCAAGTCAGGCCTAGCACCTTTGACAAACGCAAAAAAAATGATATCGTACCCAGCCACGGTACCCGTACCCCCCCCCCCCCCTCCCCCCCCCTTCCAACAGCCAATCCCTGACATCAGGGCGCTTGGAACTGCAACCCTTCCTTGTGCACTTTTCCCACAAAACCTGCAACTGTAATGGTTGGATGGTGTTTCCTTGGCATTCGCTGCTTCCCCTCCCCCCCAAAAAGTCGACGCACAGCAGCGATCACTGCCGCTGCCGTTTGAGCCAAGACTCGATCGCCCGAACCGTCAAGTCTGGATGCCCATACCATCGACTGTCGCTCAGTTCTCTCTTTTTTGCTGTCCTGCCTTCCTCTTCCCCCCCTCCCTCCAGCCAGTGCCCAACCAGCGTCCGCGGGGCCGGTCATCGCTGCGACTTGAATGCAACCCTGCAGATCAAAGCTTCGGTCTAGGCCGCTCCGGCTGCCTTCACCACCGCCAGCGACCCCGGGGTCTCTGTCCATCCCTTGGCGCATTCCGCCCACGTCAGCGTCGTCTCCTCGAGCGAGCCCATCGTATACATGTCTGGCAGCTCGGGCAGCAGCGTCCGCGGGTTGAACATTCCCGGCCACATGTGGCTGTTTGACTCCTTCACGTTCCTGACCATTGTCGTGATTTGCTTCTTCAGCGCCTTCAACAGCCGGCCTGTCCCCGCCGCGGCGTTCGTCTTCTCAATCAGGTCGCGCCGCGCGCCGACGACGTCCGTCCGCACCACGTGCCGCTTGATCCTGCCCGTCACCGCCTGCGGGAGGACGTCCTCGAAGGCGCGGTCGACGTTGCGAAGGTCGCGCAGGTCGAGGTATAACCGCACTTTCAGAAGCGTCACGGCCATCTTGTGGCTGAGCGAGCCGAAGCGCTTCGCGAACTTGCCCACCCCTTCGAACGCGTCTTCGCCCATGAGGTTCATGTGCGGGAGCTCCATGTTGCCCCAATCGTAGTGGCTGTCCTCGGCTGTCACGGCCCACCACTTTACAAAGTCATACGCCTCCTGGTCCCGCCTGAGACGGATCATCAGGTGCGGCGGGTAGCTCCGGATGCCCATGTTGTCGCCGCGGCACAGCCGCAGCATGTCCAGTTGGTGGTTCAACGCCATCTCGATGCCGTCGACCGTGTTTATTGACATGAGCGTCCCGATATAACCGAAGCGTGCCTGCATATAGGCTCGCGTCTCCGTGATCCACCAGAACCTGCCGACTGCCATGTCCCAGGTCCAGCCCCATTCGGACTCGGAGCCGTTGCGGAGGGCGTTCTCCTCTTGAATGTATCTCTCGCGATACTCCTTGATCTGGTTGCAGTCGGACTTGTGCGCCTTCCGATGCCTGACTTGGTGGTCGCGGCCACAGTAGTAGACGACCTGGCAGCCCGCACAGCGGGAGAGCTTGGTGCGGCTGTGGCACACGGCACACTGGCGGGGTGGCATACCCTCACAAGGCTGAAGGGCCATCGTGGTGCTGCCTGCGGTTTTTCCAACGGCCGGCGGACTTATACGTGGCGTCGAGCAGGTTTTCCAGAGAGAAAGAGGGGATATGTGATCCAAGACAACGCTAGGTGGTCCTCACTGGAAGAGTAAGTTTCCAGGTGCACGGTGAACCCCGCGTGTAGTGGCGGCTTGCTGATTGGCTTGTGATGCAACATGAAGAAAGTAAAAAAAAGTCCCACTCATTACGACCTACCTCCTATTTATTTATACCATCGATACACGTGGATGCTACCAACCGGACATTGAAGGGCAAAAATTACTTATATCCGGACTATTCGTCCAAATGGCCCGAATGGTAAAAGAGCCTTCTACTTTGTGCAAATGCGATACTAACACAGTGGTCTTGGACGCTTCATACGTAATTCGGTTTCTATAATCTAGGTAAAATACAAGCCTCTTGACGGCTGGCTTCGTTTGCCTTGGTAGTCTCGTCTTCACAGCATAGTGCCCCTCACTCCCAGCCTTGCAGATGGTATACTACATATATATACATTCCCCTGCAGCTCAGAAAGCCGCACTCGCCGCAGCCTCCACAGCTCTACGAGTCGGGATCCTTCCCGCCTCCTCAAGACGAGCCCAGGGGTCGGCGTTGCCCCCTGGTTGTGGGGGATTCATTTTGCGAGGGCTGACTGCCCTCAGGACCATCTTTTGCGTCGCTTCGCTCGCGCTTAGATCCTCGGCCCCCTTGCTGTCGACAACGTCGACACCATCGGCTGCGGTCTCCTTGGTTTTGGGCAAAGGTTCTCGATCACGAGTCTGCTCAATAAATGTCATTCGTGCTTCCGTGCCCAACTGGGGATCGACCAAACAGTGTCGTATAGAGCTCAACTTTGTCTCAAAATACTCCAGCTTGATACTCGACTGCTCAACCAGCCTGACCATGCGGGCAATATTAATGCCTTGTCTTTGTCTTCTGGATGGCAAACTCGAAGCAGGCACATCTCGTAAGAACGGAGCCACGGCAGCCGGCGATGATCCCTTGATACCGCAAATGTCCAACAAGTTTTGAATACGATGCGCAAGATACGTCTGATCGCATTCTCGAGAGAAGACCGCCTCGACAAGCTTGGGTTTGGTGGCCAGCGCTCCCAAGACGCCTAACGCAGCCTTGGGGTCCAGCGCGCGAACGCATTGGTCTAGTAGTTGTGACATTGTCCGTAGGCTGAATGTGAATCCGATTTTGAGACCGAATGCTACCGTGGCCACAGCATTCCTTAGGTAGCGAAAGCTCAGCATACCTTCAACGATGGCAGCAAAAACCTGGGTGTCGAACCAAGCTCTCTCTATGATATATTTGTTGGTGACAACGACATCTTTCGATTGTGCCCATCTTTGGAGCTGAGGGTCCTCAAGCACGTCGTCAATCAGTTTTCTTCGAATCTTCATACCCCGGCAGTCTCTGCCAGTCATGCGCTCGATGATGTTGTTGAAGTTGCCGCTTTCATTCGTCTCTTTGAAATGGTTCAAGAGGCAAACCAGTGTCCCCTGCGTCGGCTCAAGCTTGGATTGAAATAAAGACTTGACCACGTTGGAGGCTAGGGGGTGAAGTCCCGCGGCGTCGAACCCCTTGATCAGAGTGTTGTACGTGTGAATAGTAGGAGGCTGCGACGAGACGAGAAGGTTGTGGCACACCTTCATAATTGTTGGCCGGAGATTGGAAGGCTGTGCCGCCTCAAAGATGTTTCTTAACGACCTGTTCAGATCCGCACTGCACTTCTCGAGAGCCCCGGAGTCCACTTCCCGCTCGTAGTGAGGGTAGCTTCTCTGCCTCAATTCTGCGACCTCTTGCTGTAAGTGCTGCATGTCGCAGTCGTCGTGTTTTGCCTTATCGACTTCTCTCCTATTCTTCTTCGAATCACCGCTTCCGATTACTGTCTTGCCGTGGAGCAAGCTGGAGACCAATTGCTGCACGTTATCCTCCGCTGCCTTCATCTGTCTCATCGTTTTTGGAGCGCGGTGCTGAAGATTCCGCAGGGCCTCATCCTCGAAGAGCAAACGGTCCATCAGAAGGTAGTCTGTCCGAATAAGAGCCTTCATCGACCTCTTTGTTGGTTCGAGTCCATACTCTGCCCATATCGTTTCCACCTCGGGAGACCTTGGCGGAGCCCGGGACCACGTCTGCGTACGGCCCAGGGAATCGAAAAACTCGGAGATCTCTCTTTTCTGCTTCCTGTGGTCCCTCAACGCGCCCTTGTATCGGTTGGCAATGTTTCCAGCCGGTGCTGTCTCGAGGGTGTCGGCCGGTGCGTTTTCCATAACCTTCGCGAACTCCGCCCTCGCCTCCTCGAGTTGCCGTTCCAGATCCTTCCGACGCTCGTCCTTTCTCTTCGCATCCAGCACAGCCGCCGTTCCCATGATTGATGTGTAGCACGCCGTGAACATTTCGCTAAAGGTCGGTTTCCTTTGTGTCGCCCGCGTCGCCGATTGACGCATCATGCCTCCGGCGGCATTGAAGCAGGCTTTGCAGCCGCAATGGCGCACCTGGCCCGCTCTGGACCAAAGTGCCTGCATTTCGACGGCATTCCGGCTGCGTTGGCAGCCACGATGAGTTGAATTGACAGGCTGGTCGGGAATTGACGTCGTCTGGAAGTCGAATGTTTGTCGCCTGGAAATTATGGTTTCTGAATGAACCAGAGACGTGCCAGAACGAGTTGCCATGCTCCAATTACAGGGGTGTGACATAATATTGGTATGCAATTGAGCGAAGAAATGCTGAGATGAATTATGCGATAAAAATGTATAGCTGTTTACAGAAGTAACGCAACTGCCCCTCCATACCCCACCATAACTTCGATGTGAGCTTTGAAAGGTATCATAGCTCCAGACGACTCGAACATCTATCTGATCAGAACAAGCCGAAAGCCAACAGCCACCGTCAAAATGTTCGCCCTTACACTAACAGCTGAGCTCAACGGGTAAGCGGAACTGCTTGGAAATCTTCGGGACCTCAAGACTCATTTCCAGACAACAGGGTCACGAACCTCCGTCCCGATGACAGCGAAGGCAACCCCTTCTGGTACACATTCAAGGTCCAGTGCACTTCATGCCGTGAAGTCCATGACAAGCCCGTTGGTGTCAGCCGTTTTGTAAGTTTATCGATTCATCATGAATCCGGACGTTTGTTGACACGCAATACAAGGATGACAACGAGATGAGTGGCAGCAGAGGCGAGGCCAACTTCGTCTGGCGGTGCAAAAACTGCAAGCGCGAGTCCTCAGCTTCCATCAAGGCTGCGCCCGCACCTTACGCGCAGGGCGAACCCGCGAAGCAGCAGCAGCTTCTCGAATTTGACTGCCGAGGTCTGGAGTTCACAGAGTTCATCCCTGAAGGAGAATGGCTCGCCGAAGGCATTGATTCGGGTAGCAAGTTCTCTGCCATTGACCTTACCGATGGGGAGTGGTATGACTACGATGAAAAGGCCGGAGAGGAGGTGAGCATCAAGGATCTGAAGTGGGAGATCAAGCGTGCTTGAAGAAGCTCGACAGAGATTTATAGTACTGGTGTATGGTGTTTGCTGTGGGATGGCGATGCGGTATAGGGGAATGTCGAAAGAATTCGGCATGTTTTTTGGCGTTTCTGAGCTCTTGTCTTGTGACAATGACATGTCTTATTTGAGCATGATTTTCGGCATTCACTAGTGATCACCCACGGACGGGATTTGCATGTCAGCATATATGGGTATTTAACCACTCTAAAGTAACCTAATTCTACAAGAAGGTCTTGCCTGCCCTCTATTCCATGCATGAATCATCACATACATCCCAGAACCATCCAACCCGTCCCCAATCTCACCTCCTCTCAAGGAGAACAAGCCAAGGCCGATCCTCATGTGTCAAAATTCTTCGTGATCGTTCCGGGCAGACAAGCGAGTGACTCCATCTTATCTGGACTCAAGCGAGCCAAAGGCAAGCGGCACCGTATGGAGTCCTCAGTGCTCATGCCCAGAGATCACGACACGGCTGTCATCAAGGCCTGTCGTGGACCTGTATCAAGTCCAAGTGTGCCGCGTAACTGCAAACCGGTTATAATCAAGGTTTCCGGTCTGCAGCCAAAACAGAAGGGAAAATTAGAACCATCTCTCGTCATCATCTGCCGTGCTGAGAAGCACAACTTGTTTTCTCGCTCCTTTTCAGGATCTTTAGTTATCAAGACGGTTCCGTGTATTCAGACAAATGCCAGGCTCTTCTTCATTCAAAGCCTAGTCGCCCAATACTGACGGTTGACGGGAACGCATATAGTATCAGCCTTAGCAGCGAGCATCTGATCGTGGGTTCCAGTAGCCTTCGCCATTTCTATTGGAAAGTGGTGCGTCTTCGGAATTCAGAACAATCAAAAGACACTTCAAAGGAAGTAGTCACCGGGTCCACGGCGGTTGGCAGGAACGTGACGCTGGTCATCAGGGACAGCGGAGAAGATGCTGAACTTGGGGTTCATGTCCTTGTCGACGGTCATAATGGATGCGACGTTGCCGCAACGGTAGCAGTAGTTGGGAGCAGACCAAACAGTGACGACCGAATTTTGAGGGAAGTGGTACTGGGCCAAGGTTAGCAATGGAATGGAACAAGGCTAGCATAAGACAGTATCACGTACCTTGTAGCCCTCGTTGACGAGCTGATGAGCTCTGGCAATCAACTTGAGACCGTTCACGTGGTTGAACTCAGTCGCAACCTTGTCGCCAAAGAGCCAGCCGGCACCACGAGGGCTAACAGCCCACGTCTCGACGTCTTCGGGGTCCGACCAGACAAGATCGCAGAAAGCACCCTCGTGAGGAATCTCTTGAGCACGGGCAACGACGCGAATCTGGTCGATGGTACGGATCTCGGGACTCAAGCCACCGTGGACACAGAGGAGCTCGCCGTCGACGATGGCAGCGAGGACCAGGAAGTCGAAAACATGGCAGCAGGCCTTCCAAACGGAGGCGTTTCCATACTTTTGTTGGCACTCCTCGTAGAATCCATAGACCTGAGTGATCTGACGAGACTCGTGATTACCGCGGACAAGAACAATTCTGTCGGGGTACCTGGGAACAACAGTCAGCATCATGATGCAACTTGCTTCGCTCATACTTACTTGGCCTTCAGGCACATAAGAAGGGTGAACGTCTCGAGACTGAAGTAGCCGCGGTCAACGAAGTCGCCCAAGAAAATGAACCGAGTCTCGGCCGACTGCGAGGAGGCGGAAACTTCGACTGCAGAGTCAGCTCGGGAGGCGACGCTGGTATCAGCGGCCGCAGAGTCGTCCTCGTCGTCCTCATCGACGACAGCGCCACCAGCGTTCTTCACCTTCTTCTTGAGCTTGGGGTTTGTGATCTCGGTTGGGGGCTCAATGTCTTCAGGGTTGATTACAGTGGTGGCAGTCTTGGGTGCCTCCACTCTGGTATCACCGGGCATTCCACCCGCGACACGGAACAGCTCAAGAAGATCGTAGAACTGGCCGTGGATATCGCCGCAGATTGTGACCGGAGTGCAAACAGGCTGGATGTTGGATTCTGAAGTCCCCAAGTCAGTACATATGAAGCCAAGCACGAACACAGCACGCCTTACCCTCCATGAGGACTTCCTTCACTAGCTCACAGAGCTCCTTCATAGCGCGCTCGGGTAAGTAGTGACACTGCTTGGCTTCCTCCAGCCACTCATCCAAACCTGCGTTTGACGAGAGGTTGGCAGGGCCGGGTCGGGGAATCTGGCTCGCCATTTTGTCGAGAAACTGGGCACCAACTTGGGACTTCGCCTCAGCCTCGTAGGGATCGAACTCGTCGGAAATGTTTGGGTTAAACTCGTCGGTTGGCAGTGCCAAATCGTACTCGAGCTCGTCGGATTCGTAGTAAGCTGGATCAAATTCGTCAAACTCGTCGGCAAAATCTTCGTAATCCAAACTTCCGCCGCGGAGAGAAACGTCGGATGAGTCTTGAGCGGGATCGTCAGATGGTCGAAGAACGCGGACGATTTGTGCAGTGCGAACCTCGGGTTCCTCAGCGTAGTCGAGCCCTTCGTCTTTGGTAGGCAGCTCCTCTTCGATGGGTTCGGGGAGAGGTCGAATGCCAATCGGTCCCGGAAACACGAACGGAGGTGGGTTGGAGGGGCGTGTCAGCGATGTAGACCGGGAACGGCGACTTGGGATCGTTGGATAGGGCTCCTGCTGGTTCAAAGCGACCGGGTTCGACTGGAGAGGCGAAGGGTGCGGTGGAGCAGTGTCTTGGGCGGGGGGAGGGGCTTGAAGAGTACGGTTGGGTGCGACAGCTATGCGGGTGCTGTTACCGGTGGGGGGCTCGGGCAGCGGCCGGGGGATTGATCGCTGCGGAACAACTCGATGACGAGATTCTTCCAGGAAAGCTTCCAGAACCGCCTTGTCAGCGGCTTGACGTCGCAAAACTCTCTGGCGATGCTCTTCAAGAGGATTGTCGTAACCTCCAACGACGATTGGTCGCGGTCGGCTGAAGTTGGGAGCGCGGGGACGTTCAGTGCTCAATGGGGCAAGAGTGGGGATATAGCCCGATTTGCCTGGAACTGAAATGCCTTGACGTCGACCGGGATAGGGACTCGACGCGACAGAAGAAGAAGCAGAAGAAGAAGCAGAAGAAGAAGCTGTCGGCGCAGTCGCAGAATGAGTGGGAGTCTGCGCTAAAGGGTAGTCAGGACGTCCAGATGGGAGCTGAAATGATACTTCCGCGCTCCGGTGACGTCCACCACCTGCTCCGGGTCTGCGGCGAGGGCCGTTTGTCACGGGATTACTCTGGTATTGGTTGGCGCGTCGAATCGCCGCTTGGATTTCCTCTTCACTGGGAATCTGATACCCTGACTTTTTCGCGACCTTGGCCTTCGGACTTTCCTCTTGCTGGGCAGGTGCTGAAAGTATCTTTTCCTGGTTGAAGTCCGGAAATCTTTCCGGGTAGGCGTCGATAGGCACGCTGTCTTTGACCTCGGAGGACTCGCCTTCCTGGTCCATCTTGACCCTCAGGTGCTGGGTGAACTTCGGGTAAACTTGGTGTTTCGGAAGATTGTTCAGCCGAAGTTGCTGATGTGAGAAAGTGAGTTTAACCGAAGTTCCTCCAGGTGGCTCAGTGGACAGAAAAACACACTACCCGCTCAAAAGAAGCTATCCAAAAGTGGTTAGCTCGCAGTTATCAGATAAGGCTCGCCAGAAGACAGTTGCACCCTGCCCGTGCACCATTCTTTCAGATCCAGTGTTGATGTGAACCCAAGCCCCGCATCAATACCTTGCCATCACATCAGCCTTGACAATCCTCCCCACGACTTCTGGCACAGCCCTTTTGTCTTCAAAACACAGCAGACTTTATTCTGCTAACAATTTCCAAGCAAACATTCAATGTTTTTCACACCGCTTGCTCCTAGCCTTTTTGACACCAAACAATAACCAGAGAAAGTAGTGCACTCACCTTAGTGTCAAGCGCCAAATATCTTGAACAATCCTATTCTTCCCATCCTCAAGACCTTTGGTGCCGCAATGGCGACATCCGGCGCCCAGGGCGCCTCCCGCAAGACGAATGGAGTACTTCCGGCCTCTGGCCAGCAGCCTGCTGCAGATGCGACAAAGTCCAACAAGAGCCGGACTCCTGTCGAAGGCGACAAAGTGGTCATTCGAAGGCTGCCGCCTGGCATGACAGAGCAAGAGCTGTGGAATAACCTTGGTGATGAGTGGAAAGCCGGAAATAGTCTCGTCAGCTGGCACAACTTCGTGCAGGGGAAGATTTCACAGGAGTACGTGCTTGCTCTCACGGCATGAAGGGACCACGGACTAACTTTTGGTGTGCGTAGCCCTGCGAAGCCCTCGAGGCCAGGGAGAGTCTACCTACACGTCCTGAAGCGCGAAAGCCTCAACGTTCTGTCAAATCTGATTCAAGCCAAATCCTGGGAAGACGCCAAGATGACCTCCAACAGCGCTTCTCTGGTCGGCCCTCCAGTTCTCGAGTTTGCGATTTACAACAAGATCCCGAGCGGTAAGAAGCGCTCCGACCCTAGACAGGGCACGATCGATCAGGACCCCGAGTTTATGGCCTTCCTCCTGTCCTTAACGAACCCGGAGATGGAGAGGGAGAACGAGAACAGCGAGGGCAAGGATACGGAGGATTCGAAGCCCGAGGCCAAGGTTACGACGACACCCTTAATCGAGTTTATCAAGGAGAAGAAGGCGAACAAGCAAAAGGAGGCCGCTGCCGCTAAAAGCGCCAAGCAGGCCCGTCAGGATTCCAACACTAAGGGCAAGGCGTCGACATCAAATGCGGATGATTCAAAGAAGGGCAAGAAGGACTCCAAGGGAGAGAAGTCGGCCGACAAGCCCAAGGAGACGGTCAAGATTCTCACCAAGAAGGCCGCCGCGGAAGCTGCCAAGGCCGCCGAAACAGTCGCCAGTCAGATCACCCAGGCCTCTTCATCCTCTCAGGATGCGCCCAAGAGTCGGCGGGCTGGAATTGCGGCCGCCGCACGCATTTTGCAGAGAGACCTCGGCATCAGTCCGGGAAGTGCTCATAGGAGGGCGCGGCTCGACGCTGCCAAGGCTGAGGCGGAAGCCAAGGCGACGACGACGAAGGAGGCACCGCAACCAGCGGCCGAACCCCCGGCACCAACTCCAGCACCCGCCGCCGCGCCAGCTCATTCGTCCGCGGCCGCTTCTCAGACATCAGAACGGAGCACAACGCCCACGGCGCCCAAGTCGGGCCGTTCTCGCAGAGGTGGTGGGGGTAAGAACGCGGGTGCTAGCGATTCTAAGAGCAAGTCGACCGAGGCAAGCTCCAGCAACACACCAGCGCCTGCCAAAGCCCCAGTCGTGTTGCTCAAGAAGAAGGATGAGGAAAAGAACAAGGAGAAGGGCTCCAAGGCAGACAAGGAAGCATCAAGCTCGGCGTCACAGTCTGCCGCACCGGCAACGAATGCGAAGTCTAACCTCTCGACGAGCGCTAAGTCCTCGGGCAAGGGCGGCGGCAACTCGAAGAAGAGCTCAGCTGCCGTCACGCCCGGCGTGACGCGCGGTTTCGTCAAGCACGCAAACCCGTCGCAGGGCGTCACCGAGGCGCTCCTGAAGCAGGCCATGGAGGCCTTCGGCACCGTCACGTTCGTCGAGATGGACAAGCGCAAAGGCTTCGCTTACGTCGACTTCTCCAACCACGACAGCCTCGTCAAGGCAGTCACCGCGAGCCCCGTGCAGGTCGCCCAAGGCACTGTTCAGGTCCTCGAGCGTAAGGAGAAGAAGCCCTCGGCGCCAAGTTCGAACGCCAAGTCGGAACCCAGCGGCGCCAACGCCAACGCCGGGGCGGCGAGCTCCAACTCGGCCGCGCCCTCGGCGTCTGGGTCGGGCAACAACGCGACACCGTCCGAGAAACCGGAGCACCACAAGCGAACCAGACGCGGCCGCGGTGGGGGCAAGGCCGCCGCGAATGCGTCGGGCAGCAACAGCGGCAACAACAAGGATGCGCGCAACGAGCCCGCGGCCTCGACTGCAGGTACGGGATGATGAGCAGAACAGCCTTTTTGTGTGCTTTGCATTGATTGACGACAAATCTGTACCTTGCATGGGTAACTTTTTCCACGTGCGCTGCGTGCGCGCGGATTTCTTACAACGCGCGCCCGATATGAGCACGAGCCAGGGTTAGGACGGGCCGAAGAGCTGCGGAGGAAGGGGGGGGGGGAACAAGAATTTCCACCATGCGTACCTGCGTTTCTGCCCAAAGCAGAGCCCAACAACGTGAGAGGCCTGCAACGAGGGCGGCCTCACCAACCCCAAACCCTCCCAACGCGGCCGCCCTTGGTCCGGCTGACTGCAGCCCAAACAGAGCGCCCTTCAGAGATGACGAAACGCGGGGATCGGCAGCAGGTGAGCGTGCATTGCAGCGGCGGCGGTGGATTCCACCTGCGCGGAGCGTTCTGGCGGAGGGGAGAGAGTGGGTGATGGTGGTAGTGGTGCGTCAGCTAAGGGGGGGGGGAGGGGCGCGGCCCGGGGAAATCGTGAGCGAAGCCCGCAGAGTGCGTCTTGAGTGGATTCATCCGTAGAAACAAATGGCAAATTGGCAAAAGGGAAGACATCTAATCTATCCCATAGTAGCGGCGAGTAGTCTTCGGGGAGATTTCAAACATCACATGAGCACACAAAAAGGACATGGGAGACAATAAAGAGGGTTCCATCCAAGTTCCAGTGTTTTGGTTTGAATTGGGGACGAAGATACCATCTATCACGGTATCCGCCGCCGTCTTTTGCTTCACAGCGTACAAGAATATGCTCTCCCCCCCCCCGAATCTCCCTCCATCCGAGAAGGGGGGGAGGTGGCGTACAGGCTACATACAAACAGAAACGTCCACCTTGATTTTTTGTTTTGGAGAGCGCGCAAAAAGAATCTAGGGAAAATAACGCTTTCCCACCCCTCCCATGCCCGGTTTACATGTAACCCCAATGATAGCAATGATAAAAGAAATGGAAGAAAGAAAAAAAGACGGTCAGATTGGAACCCCGGGTGCCGTCGCACGCGCCCACGCCGCAGCGCCCAAGATGGCAGCGCAGTAGGCGAGGACCGCGAGGAGCACGCCGAGGAGCACGCCGTCCGTCTCGCGCGCGGCGCGGGCGAGCCTGGCCCTGGCGTCGGTCACCCACAGGGTCTCGCCGGCGTCCCGCCGCGCGGCGCGGAGGCCGGGGAGGCCGTCGATGGAGGACCGGTTCTTCTCGACATGGTACGCGTTGACGGTGTTGTTGTCGACGCGCTTCTTCCAGAAGAAGTCGAGGGTGGGGCGCTCCTCGAAGACGGAGAGCTCGTCGGCCTCGGGCGCGCCGTCTCCGGACGGCGGCGGCGCGTAGAGCTCCTTGCGGACCATCGGCACGCCGAACCCGCAGCTCGTCTGGACCTCCCAGACCTCGCCGACTACGACGGCCCTCGCGCCATCATACGAGTCCCGGCCCGCCGGGCCCTGGGGGACGATGCGCTTCATCCACGAGTCGAACTCCGGATGGTCCCACTCGATGATCCGGCTCTTGCAGAAGAGGCGGAGGATGCGAGGCGAGGGGCCAAAGGACATGAACATGAGCGTCAAGCGCCCATTCTCGTAGCTGTGGGCGATGGTCTCGCACCCGGAGCCAGTACGGTCGATGTAGGCGACCAGGTTCGGCGAGAGGACGGCGAAGTGGGCCGAGAGGCCCTTGGGCGAGACGTTGATGTGGGGGAGGTGGGTGGGTGCCGAGGCCGTGAAGAAGACGGGTTGGCGGGCGGCCCAGTCTGCGAGGTCGGTGCTGATGGAGGGATAGAGCTTCATGTTGTTGTGATTGAGGTTTTTCCCCTCCCTCTTTATTTGGTATGTATATGGAGGTGTCGGCGGCTGTGGATGGATGTCGCCGATTGAAACAAACAAGAAGCCAAAAAGTTGAAAGAGGTATATCGTCGCACACGTGAAAGGGGGTATTGGGTATCGTATTGTAGATGATGAAAAAGAAAACTCGGCTGTTACAAGATTTTTGTTACAGGAATGAGGGGGTAGGAAAGAGACCGAGAAGACGCGGGGGTCATCTTTTCAAACAAACAGATCGGCCCGGGAAACTGCAACGTTCGCCGAGCCTTGTGTGAAGAGGATGAGTCAACTGGATGGCGTCAATCAGCTGCATCTCATATGAGTCGTTTCGTCCACCGCCGATGTGGGGACGATGTCAGCCATCCCCCAAAGAGGGAGGGGCCCTACTCCAAGACGGTAAGGTGTAGGAGCCCTGGGCCCCGGGCCCCGCACCGCTTATCGGATGCGTGCATGGGATGAAGAGCTTTCTCTGTGGCTGAATGCAGAGTGCTGTAAACGTATTTGCGCATATGCAGGGAAGGGAAAAAAAAAAGGCACCCATGGCGGCGGTGTGTCACCCAGGACTTTTTTGTTCTTCCTTCTTGCTGTTTGGTTCTTCACCGGCGCGACCTCCCGCGGGGAGCATCAAGGACCGGCGACAGAGGGTAAGGGTGGTAGCTCCCATCAGCTTGAACGTATTGTGAGGCAGAATCGGGGTAGTAGTCACCCCCATAATCGGGGTATGCTGGGCTGCGCGGCATAGCGGCGCCGTAGGCGGAAAGGTCGGGGGTGGTGGTTGTGGTGAAAACAGCCGGCCTGATGGAGTCGTGGTAGGAGGTTGACTCGGGGCGTGAGTGACGGGAACGGCCCGGCTGCTCTGCGGGAGGGACGGGACGGGAGGCGGCAGGACCCAAAGGCTCTATGTAGCTGCCGCTCTGTTTGCTTCGGCCCGAGCTGCTGCCGGAGGAAGAAGAACTCTTGTCGTCCTTGTGGTCGAAGCGGCCGCGGAGGCGTTCCTTGTCCTGCTTGACGCGCTTCTCGAGCTCCTTCTCCTCTGTGGTCTTGCGCGGCTTGCTCTCACTGCGGCGGTGCTTAGACTCGCTGCGGCGATGCTTGGATTCGCTCCGGCGCGAGTGCTTGGACTCCTTGGGCTCCTTGGACTCCTTGGGAGAAGGGGGGTGGGTCTGCAGGGCGCCAGACATCTTGGTAGACTCGCGAGGCGGGCTGGTGCGAGACTTGCGATCCTCACGAAGGGCATCTACCTCTGCGCGCAAGTTGCGCTTCTCGCTCAACAGGGCCTTGTTGTCGTTCTCCAGGACCTCGACGGTGTTCTGCATGGCGGTCAAGCGGGCGTTGGCCTGCTGGAGCAATGTTTCGGTTTCCTTGAGCTTGTCCCTGGTTGTCAGGTACTCCTCTTTGAGCTTGCTGTGGTTCCTCTCGAGGTCGAAGTACTCCTGGGCCGTAGGGCTCGAGCTAAAGTCGGACTCGACGCCCGAGTCGCTTGCCTTGTGACGGTGGCCCTTGGTGGCCGGGATGGCCTGGAAGGTGACCCTTTGCTCCTTTCTGTTGGCTGAAGACATGGTTGGTGGTTATTGACGGCTGGGCGGCCCTATTGTCGATCAAGGGTAAAATGATTCTGGGTGACCAAGTCGAGGCGCAAATGCCCTTTTCGCCTTGAACAGGCACAAAAGCGAGGCCGTCAGTCGAAATGTAGTGTACGTGCGCAGTTCGGTCTGAGCAGTGTCGGATTGGAAAGGAGAAAAAAAAATTGAAATTCGATGTGGGTGGTGGTGCGGTGTGGCAGGCGCGCGCGCGGGTTAATACAAGTCGTGTGGCCTTGTCGAGATGAGTCAAGTCGGGTATATAAGGGGGTGAATGCTGCCCAAGATGGGACCAGGTTCTTTTTTTGGCTCGGGAAAAGGAGACGGAATAGCCGGGACTTTGAAGGAAGAGGCAAAAAGTGAGATGGATGGAACGGAGGAGAAACAAGAAGATGCGGCGCATTGGAACATTTTATTTATTCATACACAGCCCGTCGCAGCCTTCACGGAGTATGAGCAGAGAGAGAGAGAGAGAGAGAGAGCGACAGCGCGAGCAGTCGGAAGGGAACAAGAGTGTGTGAGTGTGAGTGTGTGTGGGCGTATGAGTGAGTAGTGTGTGGTGGTGTGGATTGTACTTACTTTGCTGCTGCCTCCGGGAGCAACGCAACTTTTTTTTTTATTATTATGCAAAGGGAGAACGGCGGGTGCAGGGCAGGGGGGGGCACCAAATGAAAACGAAAAGGGTACCTGGAACAGTCTCGGAGGCCTAAGGAGATTAGCAACATTCCAGAGGTACCGCATCGGTAGTGGCTATGTAGGGCTGGCCGGTTGCTGGGCGCCTCGTGGGCGCAGCTGCGCAATAGAGTCATCGCTCATGTTTGTATGCGTACGAAGCCCAGAGGGTAGCGGGAGGTACAGTATGTACGCACATCAACCCGCAGCGGTTCGCTAGGCAGGAAGGATGGCGGCGGCATCGCGGATCCCCCTCCTTGACCAGGGGGATGTGATGACGGGATGTGATGGGACGGGGAATGGAGATTTTCGGGAAGAAGAGGGGAGCGGGACTCGGGAAGGGAAGGCAGACAGACTACGGATACCTACGAAGACTACAGAGTATAGTGTACGAAGTACCTATGGATGGATACATTGGAAAACAAAGTGGAAAAAGGCTACCGGGGATCGACTCCCATTTCTGCTTCAGCCACCCAGCCAAGCAGAAGGGCAGGAAGACGAGCAAAAGGGGGGGGCATGTGGAAGGAATCACTGCTTCACAGAATGGGAATTCTCGGTGGCAGGACACGTCCTTATTGGCTCAAGGCCGAGTCGCTCGCCGAGGCAGTGCAGGGCCAGCGAATCCAACAAGGCAGAAACGCACCTCTTTTTTGCCGGTTGCCTCGTTGTGAATTTTCAACCTGGGCGCCTGATTTTGCTCTGGTGTGTGTGTGTGTGTGTGTGTGTCTGTGTGTCCGCGTGTGTGTCTCTCCCAGAAAGTGGTTCGCCAACGCGAATCGAGCACCCGACAGACTGGTTCGCCCAAGCCCTTGCGCGCGATGCGCTTGCATCTGGGCTTTGCATTCGCAGACGACACGAGGAGGGGCGGAGCACTCGATTACGTGCCGCAGAGACAGTCCAGGTGGCAGGCTGGAGGTAATGCGAGTGGCCTGCTCGCTGCCCATTCGCAGACTCTTCGTACTTAGCTGGAACTTGCAGCCTCCCTCCCCCCCCCCAATTCTCCATCCAATATTTGCGACTTCGTGGAGAGAGACGGTGCTTGGAGACATGTCCGACGCCGACGGCCCGCTTAGCGCTGTGCGGTCCTTTCCTGCAGCCTCTTTATGCGTGCTCCAAACTTGTTTCTCCCTCGTGCCCACGATCGCCCAGGGATCATGATACGCATTGCGTGAGGAGCGCCTCCCATTCGGAGGGAGCCAATGGTCGGCAACGATCGCGACCGAGATCTTCTGGCAGCCTAGCAGAGGACGGCATTTTGGACCCAGCGTCGTGAGTCACTGGCCGCCACGGGGTGTGTCTGGACCCCTCCCCACCCCCCGCGACGAGATGCACGTTTTGTTCGTTCGTTCGTTCGTGACAACGAAGACGACAACGTTGATGATAAAGCGCCGGTAACTGAGGCCGCTGTCATTCCCAAATCCGACTCATGCCCTCGATGCTTGTCCGACGATGGCGTGTTCTTGGTTTGTTGGTGCCATCGCATCCCGCGCGTCTGTCCGGCACCCCCCTCCTCTCCTGCCAATGGAGGACTTGCACTTGGATCGGTCACTTCTCCAGCAATGATCCCTCCCCCCCTTAGGAAATGGGAGGACCGTCGCGAGCCGCATTGCCACGATGATGGATCAGACTGTGGGTGGTGGTGGATTGAATGTGATGGGGTTGAGTAACGGCCTGCCTAGTCGAAGAGAGCTGCTGCTGCGAATGGGAGGAAACCGAGCACAGGCTATTAACGGGTACCGCCCCCGCAGGCCAACGCGACAGGCAGTTCCCCTGCAACCACTTTGCCTTTGACAGGCCTGTCAACATTTTGGCTTCCCGTCCGTCCAACCCCTACTCCAAAAAGGGAAAAGAAAAAACAAGCTACATCAGACGGCAACCACCAATGAAGGCCTCGACTGCCTGCCAGAGCTTTTAGGCGGCAGAGCGTGGATTGATTGCTCTGGAAATTCTGGCATTCATGCCTCGGCAGCGTCTCCAATTCTTTAGGGCTGGCCGGGCCCGTTTCTCGTCCTTTACGGGATCCCGTTCAGCAAGGATGGAAAGCCGGGACGGGGGGACTGCAAGGGTATGTATGGCGTAGTTTATACACTTTGAAAAGCTCCTAAATCCTTCGTCACAACCGGAAAGGCTGGTACCGTACTTTACCTGACGATGGTTGCCTAGATCTATGAACCATGCTTTGGAGGAGGGGGAGAATGGCACATTCTGGAACACGATTCTCCTCTTGACAGTGGACTCATCCACCCCCTCCCCCTTGTGCTACATCGTCTAAACTATTAGACGAGAGAGCAGCGACCTGGCCCAGCATCCCTGTCGGCAGGTCGCGCGCCCTCCAAGCCCAGCCCTGACGCCAAGGCCAGGCCTCCAAGCCCGAGAAGGATTCCTCACGTCCGACGCCGGCGTACGCCACGGCTTTCGCTTGACCATCCCTTTCCGTGCCGTTGGTATCTCGGCTCGTGCCAAGGTAGAAACAGCTAGAAGTAGCCGGAAAAGCGACTTGGCTCTTGCTAAGCCAGCGGTTTGCACTCGTCGAAGGATTCTGTGCCTGAGAGCCTACCTTCGGGGAGCCCGAATTCGGAGACGGCCGCGTGTGCTTATCGCCCTCTGGGTTACGCAATCCACAGCCAGTTTTTGGTTGAAATGCCACGTGCAATTTCTCTCTCCATGTGTATTCAAGCCCGGGCTTTCTTGGCCTCCTTTGCAGCCTGTTTTTTTTTTTCTTCTTCTTCTTTTTTTTCTTTCTCTGTCATCAGCGCAGGCAGGAGGAGGTACAGTCCAACGCAGTTTAGTAATGAGGGAAGAAACATGTAAGTTGATTTGTTAGAGCAAAGTGGGCGGTCCCTGGCCAGTGGGCCCTGACTACCTACCTAGGTCTACGAATACCTAGGTACCTATCTAGGCAGGTTCGGAGAACTTTCGTGACAGCCGGTACGTACCGCGACAGTCTGGGAAGGAGCGTTGGATCCACTTGCCCTTTCCGTGGCGAAGAGGGAGACAGGTTGCCTAGGTAGGCACCTCCCTCACCTAGGTACCTTGCCAACCCCCGGGTTTGTTTCCCCCCATCATGTACTCCAAATACTGCCGTAACCCGGCACATCACACAGCTTGCTCGCCTCTTTCTCGGAAACCGGACGTGAGACGCCAACACAGTTTGGAGACCTAGGACCATGCCAGTCCGAGTCCAACAACGATCTCGCGATCCTCCCGACGGCTTCGCTCCATGTACAGATATTTGGCCACGTCGCCGCCCGCTGCGAAGGAGCCGCACGCCTGATGAGAGCTGACGAGGCCTGTCAAGGGACGAGGTTTGCATCGAAGGCCATATCGGGGAAGGGGATGTCCTGTAGAGATTGCCGCCGCAGTGCACCGCTCAGCCGCGTCTCTCTCACACCCCGCCGTCCGCCGTGGTCGACACCAACTCTTTTTTTTTTTTTTTTTTTTTGCCGTGCGGCCCGCAACAATCTCCCTTCCCCCTCCCCGGCCTGCACCACTTCCGAAGGCTCCTGTTACTGACTGCGGCTGAGTCTATGCACTTGACCTAGGTGGGTAGGTACGTCGTGATCCTATCTCCTGCCGCTTCCTCTCGCTTCACCTCGGTGTCAGCGCTGTAGCCGAGGTGTGCGGCGAGAGGTGCCGCGCATCGGGTAAAGCTCCCCCTAGCGAGCTGGTCAGCCTCTTCAGGACAAAAGAGGCGGGGAGGGAAACAACACGAAGAAAGGGTGTTGCGCATCCGCGCACCAGGAGGGTCGTGTGCTGCTTTTGCGGCGGGGAACTGTTGTAGCCTTGGGCTGCACACCATCGCGACACCGGGAGGGGGAGAACCTGGGTGGTGTCGACTATAGACGCGGGTATTACAAAGACTTGGTAAACATGGACGGCCGTCGGGTTCCCCAGCTGTTAGTCCGTGGCGGTCGATCCCAGGTGGGAGTAGGAGAGCATTGAGCGAGGGGGAGGGGAAGGACAATGAACGGGATGGCGTCATGGGGTTGTATGTCTCGGGCGGCCAGCAGCTGACTACGAGGCCCGGTGCCGAAAGCGAGTCACTGCGACGGCATCCAGGCACGACATGATCTTAAATCACCATTTACTGCTCGTATCGTCTTTTAGAAACGACATAATAAAAGACACACCATACACACCCAAAGACACATCGCATCTTCTTCACCTCCCAGGGATGGGCGGCCGTCCCTCGCTCTCGTGAATAGAAGCATTGTTTAGAGCATCGCCTGGCTACCCAAATCAACTTTGTTGGATAGACGGGTGGGGGGGGGGGGGCCTAAAAAACCGCTTGCGAAGCTGGGAGGGAACCAGGAAGGGTTGGGAAGATGACGTGTTGGTGGTTTCTTTGAGGGGGGGGGGGGGGGGGGGGAGGTGACCGGATGCTCCATCCAAATCAAACACTGCGTGGGAGCAGCTCACGCACCATGCGGAACCAGGTATCCAAGACTGCGACTTGGGCGTGGAAGGAATCAGGAGACGATAGTGAGTCTGCTGGTATCGGGGATATCAGCAGTCTATCTGGAAAACCAGTCTATAGGGATTGCAAAAATGAGCAGCAGCACAAACAGCCGTCAATCCCGTACTCTCCCTTCGGAACCCGTTGCGTCGAATTTCCTCAGCCCAGAAAGACAGCCAAGCAAATGCAGAGCGGTACCGGGGCCACATGACAAATGAGAGATAAAAACAAGAAATAAAACAAACGAAAAAAAGGGCATAGTGGGCGCGAAATGTCAGATCGCGGTGCCGCTGTCCAATGACAACCATCCGTTCCCCCCTTTGATAGACTCAGCGAGCCTGCCTAATGAAGCACCGCCAACCGTAGGTCTATCTGCAAATCGAAGCCAATAACGACCAAGTCCTGCAATCTCTCCAATCAGAGCCTGCGCGGGCCTGGATGTTAGTCCTTCGTCTCTAGCCACGGGCCGGAATAGTAGGGACTTACCCGACGGGGCATGTTGAATCGAACATCCAGCCAGACGTCGTCCTTCCTGCCAAAAGAAAGATGTGATCTGTTCTCCTTATAAAGAGTGAGGTTCCCAACCAAAGCGCCCATCAAGAATCCATGGTATCAAAAAGAAAAGCCCTCTTCCTCCCCTACAAAAAAACAACAACCAAAAAACCGTATGTTCCCACCTCATCCCCGTCTCCATCACTGGAACGTAACGAAGCCGTGCCGACGAAGGACCCGCTCGTACACGCGGATCTTGGCGTTCTGCTCCGCGATGAAGCTCCGCTGCGCTTCGAGGTCCCTCCGCAGCCTCTTGTTGTGATCCTCCACCGCGTCGAACTTCCTCTCCCACGTGGACACCAGCCGCCTCAGCTCCTCGATGCGCTCCGAAAAGCCGTGGTGGGCGTGACGCGACAGCTCCCTCACCCGCGCGACCAGTCCGTCCCGCTCTCTCTCCACCTTGGCCAGCTTGCTCCTCACCCGCTCGAGGTCGCGCAGGTACTTGGCGGCGTTGCCGCCCGAGTTCTCGATCGAGCAGCGCAGCGACGCGTTCTCCTCCCGCAGGAGCTGGTTCTCGGCCTGCAGCGAGGTGGCGAGGCCGCTCAGGCGCTGGCCCTCGGTGTTGGAGGCTTGGAGGTCGCACTTGATGGAGTAATTCTCGCGGGTGAGAACGTCGTTGACCTCGCGGAGCTTGCGCTCCCGTTCGACGAGGCCGTTCCAGTCTTCTCGGGACACATGCGCACAGTCGTCACGACAGCAGTGGTGGGACGGTGGCTGCGGCTGCGGCTGCGGCTGCGGCTGCGGTTGAGGGTCTTGGTGATGGTGGTGATGGTGATGGCGGCGGTCGTGGTAGGAACGGGAGCGCTTGAGGGAGACGAACTGATATCGGCCGTCCGGAGAGGTCTCGAGGTACCACCGGCGGGTGGCCATATGATCTTTGCCGCAGCGATGCGGACGGTGAGAGCTCAGCGGGATGCCCGATGTGGATTCAAATACAAGAGTCCGCGAGCTGCGGTCTTGAGATCGTCGTTAGCAGACTCTTATACGTGGATCGTAATCGTTGAAAGGCGGGACATCAGAGAAGCCCGACAGCAGCACGAGAGGATTGTGATGACAGAACGAAAGTTGGAAAAACCCGTAGCAAGAGAGATCGGCACCTTGATATGAGCATCTGAGAGAAGAGGCAGCAGACCACAGAGGATAGGGCGGTATGCAGGTGATCAGTGCAGGAGACTGAGGGTCTAAGAATGAACGAGGATTGGTGAGACACCTGCATGACGGGGCGGGAGCGGGTAAAGCTTTATTTTTAAAGGGTCCTGTTCGAACAGCCAGTGCCCTGGCATAGAACTGGAACCAGAGTTCTGGGAGGCTATCACTACACTAGACTTCGACGGGCTGTCGCGCAGACTGACTGCAAGTCATCGGGGGTGTGGTGTATAGAGAAGAGGCACCGGGGACCACGAGGCTCAAGCGCGTGGGCGGGAAAGACATGGGCGCGCCGGTTCGGTGGCTGACGCGCCCATGGAGGTGTGGGACGCGATGAGAAAGGTGTGCGAAGCGGTGCCATGAAGGCTAGAGAAAGGGTTTGCGTCGTATGAGGACGTTGTTCTCCTGGACCGACCCCTTCCACCCTCCCTCGACGGTGCGGTTGTCGGGTGCCATGTCGCTGACCTAGGTGTGAGACCGAGCCGGGCTCAGGAGGCGAGAATGGTAGTCATTTAGACGGCCTCCCAGATTATGGTGACGTGAGACTTGGGTGGTCGTTTGGTCCATGGCGCATGAGTGACATGTCTCAGGCGCAAGGGGGTGGGGGATCATTCGGGGCCAGCTCCGGGGCTGAGCCTTGCAAGACTCGTCGACCGTCCATCATCCCGTTGACTTGGGACAAACGTCATTTTAGACTGGGCGCAAATGGAAGAAGACCAAAAGAATCGCGAGAGTTCCTGCATCAGTTTAGTCAGTGTTCATCGGGGCGTCCGAAGCCATGGTCTTGAGAGCGCCGGCGTGGTTTCGTAGTCAGGACGTTGCCCGTCGTTCTATGATGTATGTTCAAGTCTAGCGGACGATGGTTAGTGTGGGGATGCAGCCGTTGGAGAATTGGATCCACATATGGAAGCGTGCACGTGGAGATGGAGCTTTGCGATAAGGGCCCGATAAGTATTAGTGGAGTTCGCGTGGCTTCCCTTTCAATCGTCGTCGCTGCGCTTATTAGGCTGCCTCCACCTGCCAGACTTGGCGGTACGTACCTCCCTCTCCCCTTCGCCTGAACCAACATCGTGTTGGACGACGGCCACGCTCTCCCTCCACCACCGTCATAATACTGCATTGCACCAACACGACGGAACCGTCTACACAGCCTCGGCGAGGCTGCCACGCAAGAACTACCTACTAGGTCAGTCAGGCACATCCGTTCTTGGCCGTAGCGTGGCCTAGATTCCTGGTAATTGTATATTTCCAAGTTCTGATCCTTACCCTCCGCACCATCTTTCGGCCGTCACATGTTCTAGGTAAGGCAGGATGTCTTTCCTACGGCGAGGACGCTTGTTTATGCATTTTGAAGTCTATATTATGATTACCAAAACCTGTTGCCTGACAGACAGACCCTGCTTGTTCCGATGCCTCGTGGGTAGGTGGCAAGGGAATTTGGGACGGGCTGGCTGCGGGAGGGAGACCATCAAAGTCTGAGGTTATTCCGGCTCGAGACCCTCCCGGAAAACATGGCAGTTCTCACCTGCTTTCTCCCCAGGATTGTGCCAACTGGAATAACCCGAACCGGCCTTGCTTTCCCGCTATCGCATCGCTGGATCTGGATAAAGGAACCGCCATTTATTGTGCGCGTCTTTCCACTCATACTAAGCCCCAGATCCCAAGGTGAAAACCTGCTTTCTCAAATACCTCGAAACTTCCCGTGTTGGGTCTCCAACCGCCTTCGGCACGAGTAAATCGAATGACACTAGTGCCTACCACTCTTGGTAGCGAGTGGATTGTATGACGAGGCCAAAAGCTCCGAAGTTGCTCCTTGGTCACAAGCACGGGAAGTTGATCAACTGGATGTTGTGATCACGGACGCCAAATCGCTTCTGTTGGTTGGGGTCCGGATGGTGTGGTGGCGGAGAGAAAGAATAGGGCGTGCCAATGACTGCGGGAGATGTAGCGTTCGAACTCTCTACACGAAACCGTTGACATGCCTCTAGGTATGCTTCTTCCTGAGACCTGAACCCGTGGCCGTGTGTGTGCACATCCTGTGTCCCCATCATCAAGGTCAATTTCTTGGTTCCGGAGGCTTGTTCTTGTTTCGAGATTCATCTACATTTCTCCCAAAGTGCCACCACTTCCAGATTAGCTTGGGCTTTCCTTTCCGCCTGCGCCTCCGGAAATTGTTGCCCCATACCCTCGAGGAGTTGCCCTGTTTAACAGAATCACAACCCGACCATAATCCTGCCTTGCACCTGTCAGCTTCCTGAACATGTCAGAAATGATCTTTCCGTCTTTCTCCCGCCGTCTTTCACTGCCTCGAACGATCGTCGAAATGTGCCCAAGGAGGCCGCCCCTCCATCCCTGTAGGCAACCGCAACCTTTCTCACATGTCACCGGGCTCATAGTAATCTCCATCTTCCAAGTTTTCTTGAGCTACGTAGGTAGGCAGGCCTAGGCCGCAATAAACGAGTGACACGAAAGTAAAGCTGCGCCCCGCAAGGCATTGAGCATCCGGGAGACCAACCTCCAACAACGTTCCCCCTCTCGGTCCCGGATAACCTTCTTCCCCTTTAAGGCCTTGACCTTACTTCTTTCCGCCCTGCTGCTGCTGACCGCCCTGCTGCTGGGCTCCTCCGCCGGCGTTGGCGTTGGCGTTTCGGTCCCCCGCGCTCTGGGCCCTGGCAGCGAAGCCACCGGACGACATGTCTTTGCCGCCTTGTGCCTGTTTACGGGAGCACGCGGATTAGCTCTTGCCTACAGGTTCTCGGTAAATGGGGAAGCGCTGAAAGGGGGGGCGGGAGGCGGGACGGACCTGGGCGCTCTGGATGCGGGAGGCGTCCGATTTCGTCATCTTTCCAGACATTTTGCGTAATTTGGGCGGGTGTCGTCTTTTTCTTGACGAGTGTGTTCGTGTAGAATGGTCTTGGTTATGTGCGGTCTTGGCCTTGGATCTGGTCGAGTGTGTATCCGATGAGGTCCAGGGGATATAACGACCATTTTTGGAGAGAGACGAGCCGGCCTTTTGTAACCGCCTCGGACCTCTCTCGATCCCCGCCGTTGTGTTGTCCTTTACCAAAGGTCCAATGCTCCGATAGCCATAACCGCGAGGCGCCTCCAGCATCGGTTCCCCGCCAAACAACGTTTGTATCGGCGGGCCTCCCGCATCGTTATCTTGCACGGCGACAAGAGCTTGCATGTGACACTTTCAACGACAACGTATGAGAGCAGCTTTTGCATAGCCGCGTCATACTACACGTGCTTGTAGTCCGGTTTGTGAGTTTGGTGACGGAGTTGTTTGGACGACGACATGCCGCCACAAACCAAACCCGTATTGGTCCTTTGACAGACAAACAGACAGGCCCTGGGCAGAGGCAAACAAGCTTCGCATACTTGGTCAATCGTTGTATTGTTCATGTGGCACGCTGCTCTGCATGCAGTGCGTGCTTGTTTTCCTCGGCTGCGTGGATATATATAGTTATATGTATATATATATGTGTGTGTTTGTGTGTGTTTGTGTGTGTATGCGTGTGTGTGTTGGGTCAACATCCATCCAGGGACACCGGTCATGGCCGTGGCCAAGCACCGTCATACAATTCAAATGAGCCGCAAACATCTCTCCTCCGTCCTCCGGCTCTCTTAGTCCCCCCACTTGGACATGACTGTTTCTGATTCATGAGAAAAATGAAGGAGCTAAATCAAACACAACGATGCAGTGCCAGAGAATGCCAATCACAGCCAGAGTACCCTCACCGGGAGCGCGCCAATTAAGCATGTGCTTGCCTCCTCGTCTACTCTTCATATTTCTTTCTTTTCTTCTTCTTCTTTTTTTTCTTCTGCTCTCTCGTTCTTTGAGGTCTCAGTACCTCGTAGTCGCAGACTTGTATGTTTCATGCTCCCTTGTATGCATAATTAGACTCAGCTCTCGGCAGCAGCCTTGAGCTCCTCGTCGACCTGAGCCCTAACGACCTCCCGCACCTTCTGCCAGTCGTTGGTGATCTCTGTTACCCTCTTCTCCTTCTCCTCCAAGCCGATGAACTCGGACGGCAGCACCTTCTCCTCGAAATTGAAACCGGGCTCCTCCTTGAGCGCAAGGTCGACGGCTCCGGCAAACTTGGCCGGGTGGGCCGTCGAGAGCGAGATGTGAGGCACCTCGGGTCCCGCACGGCTGATGGACCGCTCGGAAGCGGCGACGCCGATGGCGGAGTGAGGGTCTAAAACGTAGCCGATCTTGTTGTAGTAGGCCTTGATGGTCTCGATGGTCTGGGGATCGCTGACGCGCTCGCTCTCAAAGTCACGACGGGCAGAGTTGAGCACATCTTGGTAGACCGGGCCGAACCCGCCCTTAGTCTTGAGGTCCTTGAGCCAGGAGGACACCTCCTGGCCAGCCTGCCTCTTGTTCCACTCGTCGTCCATGCCGGCGCTGGAGGCAAACTCGTAGGCCAGGAACCACAGCAGCCGCTCAAAGTTGCTGGAGACAAGGATGTCCATGGCGGGGCTGAGGGTCTCCTTGACGCCGTCCTCGTGCGCCTTGACACCGTCCTGCGCAAGGCCGCCAGTGGCCTCCGAGGGAGGCGCGGGCTGCTTCTCGTACCTGCCCGTCGTCCAGAATCGGTGAAGGATGTCGTTCTCGTTGGTGGCGATGACAAGCTTGTCAACGGGAAGACCCATGCGGAAGGCGAAGTAGCCGGCGAGAATGTCACCAAAGTTGCCAGTGGGCACGACGAAGCGGACCTTGTCACCAAGGTTGAACGAGTCGGAGGACTTGGCGAGGGAGAAATAGGAGTGGAAGTAATAGACGATCTGGGCCAGGATGCGCGCCCAGTTGATGGAGTTGACGGCGCCGAGGTTGTGAGTCGAGTTGATATCGGGGTCGGCGAAGAGAGCCTTGACGATATCCTAGATGGTTATAGGTGTTAGGGGTCGACCACGGGATGCGGCTATCTTGGTGTGCGGCTTACTTGGCAGTCGTCAAAGGTGCCGGTGACGGCAAGGTTGTGGACGTTGTCATCCAGAACGGTGGTCATCTGGGCTTCTTGGATGGGGCTCACACGGCCCTTGGGGTGGAGGATGAAGACGGAGACATCCTTCTTGCCTCGCAAACCGTAGATGGCGGCAGAGCCGGTGTCACCGCTCGTGGCACCGACTACAGTCAGGTGGTGTCTATCTGCACGCACGTGTTAGTCCGGCACGGCCAATAGAGGCGGCGGCGGCTGCTCGCGGGCAGGCGCGCAAGTCGCAGAGTGCATACATACCCTTTCCGGTCTTGCCCTCATTCTTGCGCACGAGGAAATACTGGAACAGGTTGCCGAGGAACTGCAGAGCAACGTCTTTGAAGGCAAAGGTCGGCCCGTGGAACAGCTCGAGGAGGTAGAGATTGTCATTGAGGTGGCGGAGCGGTGTGGTCTCGGGAGCTCGGAAGGTGGAGTAGCTTCGGTCGATGATGTCCTTGAGGTCGGCGGAAGGAATCTCGGAGGGAGAGATGTACAGAGACAGGATCTTGTGGGCCAGGTCGGGGAAGGAGAGGTCCTTCCAAGACTGCCAGTCACCGACTTGGGGGATGTGCTCGGGAATGAACAGACCGCCGTCGCTGGCAAGGCCCTTGAGGACGACGTCTTCGAAGGAGAACTGGTGGATTCGGTCAGCATATGCGGCTCAAGGTCCCGATGATATTCCGATGGCGGCAGGACAGGCAAGGCCAATAGCGGGATTAAGTGGGAGGAAAGATGGAATGGAGGGTCATACACCACTGTCCTCTCCGCGAGTGCTTAGGTAACGCTGCGACTGGGTGTGGGTGTTATCGACAGGCGCGTCGCCGGTTTCGCCGTTGGTGGCCATGATGACTTTTTATGCAGTGGAGGGAGGAGAGAGACGGGCAGCTGTTCAAAAGCGGAAGCGAGGCCCGATTGAAGCAAAGAAAAAGAGAATGGCGCGAGGAGGGGAGGGGGGGGATATGCGCGTGCAAGACGTCGTCGCTCTGGGAACTGCAGCAAGATGTTAGCGAAAAGAAGGACGACGGTGTGTGAGCGGGAGAGGAAGAAAGTACAAAGAGACAAAAATAAAAATAAAAAGAGTCATAAACGTACCAGCAAGTACGTCAAGTGGCCGAAAGTCGGTCTCGTCGAGTCGGGGGTCGAGTCGACCTCCCGGCATGGTTACCCCTCCAGAGTGTTCCGCCTCTCTTTTTTCAGTCGATGTTGCCCCGCACTGCTGCACTACATACCGTACACCTAACGTACCCAGATGCCCCCCCATTGCTGTCATTTTTGGCCCCCCCCCCCCCCCCCCCCCCGGCTCTTCATGCCCTTGTTGATTGGCCAATCAGTCTTCCTGGCAGACCCGCTCTGCCCTAGGTAGGTAGGTAGGTAGGCACCTACGGTAGGTACCTACACTACACTATTCAGGTGGCACACCGCCCACCTTATGCAACATGCGGTATGCCGCCCCTCCATCCTCTCTCCCGGCCAGTTGGAATCCAGTCGATATCAACACGATGCACCCAGACTCTGCCCGGAGCTTGCCACGTGCGCCTGTCGTTGCGCCTGCCCAATACCGATCCTTGAATCCTTGAGCCAGCGACAACAGCAGCCCATAAGATATGTCATGTCCAGCTTTGGTGGAGGGCATTGGTGCAGCTGCACGCCTTGCTGTTGAACGTCCTCAATGCTGCCTGTCAAGCAGAGTAGCCGAGACTGCCTCTTCATCATTCACCCGTATCTGCTGTTGCCAGCGTGTTTCAAACGTAGTATTGATCGGGAAGACATTATCCTGTTTATCATCGCCGTTGTTCCACAAAGGGAAAAACACACACACACACCCTCGCTCTATGACGCCTGCCGCCCATAATCCATCCGTACTGGGTATCTTGAAGAAACAAGAGAAGGAAAAAAAAAGAAGAAAAAAACAAAGAAGAAGAAGAAGAAGAGAAAAGAAGAGGGCAAAAACGCCGACGAAAGCCTTCCAACACTCAGGGCCGCCGAATCATTCACCCTGGCCATCAAAAGATGCGTCATTTCCTAAGTGACTTGAGCAATGGCGCGATCCTTGACTTCCGGCTGAGCCCCACTCGATATATCGGCTTGCCCGTCGAAGAAGCAGGCATCGTCAGAGTCTTCTTTTTATCGGCTTTGCCCCCCGCCTCCGCCTTGCCCTGCTCATTGACGGGTACGTTTTTGTCAGCCATCGCTTTCAGTTCGAGTGCCGTGATTTCTGGACCCGGTCCTTCAGAGCCGCGCTTCAACGCCGCATTGGACGCCATGGACTGCAGCACTAGAGTTTCGTCCTCCGCCTGGGGGCCGTCGCCTGTTGATAATGTCTCTATCGCAGAGTCAACCGGATCTTGCTTATCATCACCCCTTCTGCCCCTAATGGATTTGGCCATCCCGCCCGGTTGCATCTCCTTCGTATGCTTCTCACCCAGTGCAGCTTCGGCTTGGCTGCTATCGCGCGGGTTCACTGCTTCTGATGTAGGCTGTGCCTCAGCCTCCTGCTGCGTGCTCACTGCCGTAGCCTTGTTCGTCTTCCTTGGCCGACCACGCTTCTTCTTTGGTTGGGGCGTCACCGCTGCCACGTCCGCTACCACGTCCGCTGCCACGTCCGCTCCTATCAGATCCTTGGCGACATCGCACAGTTCACTGGCTTGCGGCGAGACCGAGGCCACTGCAGTGACGGTAGGGACGACAGCGGCTGCATCGGATTTCTTCGGCCGCCCCCTCTTCTTCGTCTTTGCTGCGCTAGCTGGCGCAGGCTCCTCAGCGGGGAGCTGCGCGGCTGGACCCATGTCGGCCACGGGCACATCTGTCTCTTCTAGGTTCTCTGCTTGGTCTTGCCAACAAGCGTCGCTCCCCCTCCGTCGACTGAGGCGAG